CTAGTTTGCCTTGCCTGTTTGGATGTAAATTCACGGACAAATTATGGTTTTCCGTTCTTTTTAGTCGCTCTCGGTCCCTTTAGCCCTTCTTCGTCGGTTCTTTTAGTACATTTTGGTTTCCTCAATAGCTCTCGGCTAGCTTGCGTGCTTTTTTAGCTAAAATTTTTTTGCCGTAAGCCTCAAAATTAGGCTTCCAGAAATTTTTTCCAGTTTTTTGAAGCGATTTTTAATGTTTTTTATCGAACCAATTTAGCGCGATCCAAAGCAAAATTCTTCCCCAATAATCCTTGCTAGCTTGCCCAATTTTGGTACAGAGGATTTTTTTATACAAATTCGACCTCCTTGAATTTTTCGTCGCAGTGAATTTTTCTGAAAAACAACAAGATAAACGACAATTAAACGGATTCATCGTTCCAAAATTATTTATTTAGTTGGAAAGCTTCAAAAAATTTCAGAATCCCTGCTTCGGCTTCTTAGTCCCTTCAAATCCACGTAACGGCCTCCATTCCCGATATATCCCCCACCCTAAAATTCTAGAAGGCTTTTGCTTGGGTGGGCAAGGTGTGTGAGGAGATGTCCCCCTCCATGCCCGATATCTACCCCTCAATTTTTGCCCCTCCATCCCCCCTACCGCACGCACAAAACGTCAAATTGCCGTTCGGCCCCCTGGACCTCTCCCAGTCGTCGTCTCGTCTGACTGCTCGGCCGTGGCGAGGGCTATTGGCAAGCACCCCGATCTCTCGCTCGCTCTCTCTCTCTCTCTCTCTCTCTCTCATTCTACAACGCAAAATTATACGAGCCGCTGGGCCCGGGCACCCCTGTTGGATACCGTAATCTCGGGTAGTGATTCTCATGAAATTTCAATTTGATGGACTGGTTTTTTCGGGTCAATTGGGCCAAGGTCAGCGAGATATCAGTTGTTCTCTTTCTCCCTTGCTCTCTCTCTCTCTCTCTCTCTCTCTCTCTCTCTCTCTCTCGCTCTCTCTTTCTCTCTCTATCTGACAAATCATATTTGTAATCCATCATCTAATTTTCGTGCCTATCCTGCTATGCTTCCGGCAAATCTGACTAGCAGAGATTCTCAGGGAAACCTGGGTGATTTGCGAAGGACTGCTCGCAGCGAATCTTTAGGAGCAGAAGCTCACCTGGAAAAGGCCAAAATCCCGACATCCAAAATCCCGACATTCAAAATGGCTGATTAAGGGGAAGTGGAATCTAAGCTAGCGTCAGGAGCTTGTCGGGTTTATTGTCGAGATTTTGGCCGTCGGTATTCTGGTTGTCGGGATGGTGCTTATCGAGATATAGGCTGTCGGCATTATAGCTGTCAGGATTTTCGCCGTCGGGATTTTGGTTGAAATTCCACCTAGTGGCTAGAGGTGAGCGTTGAGAGCACGACTTTTTCTGCTCATTCTTAACTGTTCTGATCCGACCATGTATTTTGACTTCCCGTCCCTTTAAGCTCGGAGTCACCGACACCTCAATCCCAGACAAGCTTCTCCACCGCAATTTCCGTACTCTCCGTCAGATTACGGTACCCACCGCGCTAATTTACACAAACCCCCGGTTTTTCTAAACCCCGCGCAATCGGGTCCTGAAATCCACACCACATCCTATCCATTCTTTGCTCCCACACAGTTTAGAAAGTGCGGGATCGGGATAGGGGGAAGAGGTGTGGAGGATGCAATATTTTGCTACTTGACAGGGGCACACATTCGGGACCTCACAGGGATGGGGAGATCGAGAGACCGTATCTCTCTCTCTCTCTCTCTCTCTCTCTCTCTCTCGCTTCGATACCCTCAGGACACGATCCCGTACTTCTCCATTTAAGGATCCGAACCCCCTGGGGGGATCCAGTTCTCTATTTGAGCCCGCCCTCCCCCACCGCCCTTCCCTATTTGAGGCCCTCCGGTGAGAACTCTGAAAAAACGGCACTTTTTGTGCTTTGCGGCAAAGCGCTAAAATGCGCGTGGCGAGCTACAGTACCTGAAAGTCCTCGAAAAATCGCCAGCAATTTTAAAAAGCAAAAAGCTCGTTTTTTTGCTGGCACGATCGCTTAAAATTGGCTTACGACCGAGAGCTTTATGGTATATTGGCACAAATAACGCAATACGCAACGAACGAGAGAAACAGCGAGCGCGAGAGAGCGAGAGAGAGCGAAAGAGCGAAAGAGAGAGAGAGGCAAAGAAGAGAGACGGAGAGAGCGAGGGAGAGAGAGAGGAAGAGAATGAGCGAGATTGTCATTCGAGGAAAAACGAAATCGAAAACGCATAGATTCCTTCGTAAAAATGAGCATCTCGGAGCGTTTGAACACTATTTGTCGTCCTCCAACTCTAATATATCAGCATTTTTTGGCCTAGCCCTAACTTTCGACTGCCCCCAAAAAACCAGGCGCCGTTGCTCCGGTGCTGTTAGCACAATCTTTGGCCCGATCTTTTGCACCTCTCTCTCTCTCGCGCCCCTGGCTTTCGTGACGGTTTGTGGGCCCCGGGGTCCCATTCCGTACTTTCCAGATTGCACCTCTTCCCCCGTCCTGACAGTCCGCCCGTAGCCCCCCTGAGAGCGAGAGAGGGAGAGAGAGAGAGAGAGAGAGAGAGAGAGAGAGAGAGCCAGAGAGACAAGAATACGGACTGTTGACCTCGATCGAATTTCTGGTCCAACCGGGACACAGGTTCCGATTACAACCGCCCTCCCAGAAAAGGCAGGGCGTAAAGAGGAATCGCGCGTAGCTCCCCGGAATTGGCCAGACCCCGCCCCCTTGCTGAGATTCATAGACTACCAAATCTGGGCTCTGTGATCCTTGGCCTTTTCTGGGCGTTTAGAATCCGACACGCTTAATTTGGAGGGCTAGCACGCCCGGCTCGGGGCCTCCGGTTAAATACCCGAAAAAAACGAAAGATCGGATGAAAGCCCGTTAGAGTTACTTGCGTGTTCCTTTAAAACCCTCCGAGGGCTTTTAAAGGGGCTTGGGTATATGTTTTTGCTATGGATCTAGCGCTACGCGGAGCGTTAAACGCGACACGCTACGCGTACGGTAACTGTTCCATCACAGAGTCGTAATCTATTACCGATGAGAAATACCGCATGCTGCTTTCCTTTCTCACTCGTTTTAAAGGACCTTTGAAGGCAAAAATCTATGGATTTTGTGGTTTTTAAACCCGGAAAACGACGTACTGACGTCCTAGCCCCATAAGAATTTGTTTATTCTTTTTCAAAATATTGGGTGCGTCCGCTAAAAAATCCACAAAACCGATTGACTTTTTAGAAAAACTTCATCCTATTAAAACGAGTCGCAGACTGCCTTCGCTACCCCTTTAAAACCAACACCCACTCTCTTTTGTGATGATGGCGGCGGCGACGAGTTCGACATGGTGTGCCCCCCCGGTAGAGAACTAGTCCCATTAGCCTCTGACACATCGACCCCCTTCTTCTGGTATTGACCGAAAAGGCACTGCTCCTGTGCAAGGTCTCCAGCCTTTTTTGCCCACCCAGTACGTGATTTTGAATTTGTGATTTTTGGCGTTTAAATGGATTAACAAGTTGGACTTATTGATTTTTTTAATTTGCAGCAAAATCCGGCGTTTTTGATGACGAAAATGGACTTAGAGACAGCACTTTTTAGCGGTATTTGGGAAAAAAACGTAGCGCCTTGAAAAAAGTGGGCGTAAAAGTTTCTGGTTGCGCTTTTTTTGAGCAACAAACAGTATGTCTCTCTCCCTCTCTTTCTCTCCCGCTCTCTCGCTCTCTCTCTCTCTCTCTCGCTCTCTCTCTCTCGCCACACTGTTCTTTGCCTTCCCGACCATTGTCCCCATTCACCACCGCCCGAAACTTCACCATCCCTGAAATGGGAAATCCGATTCCGCGCGGCTCCTAAGTACTCGTTTCTTGGTTGTGTCGCGGAATGGGAAGGGGGGGAGGAGGGGTTTGGCCCTGTCTCCTCCGTTGGCCCTCCCCGAATGTTTGTCCTGTTTTTCGGGCGGATCGGAAGATCGCAAGTCGGGGGACTCCCCCTACCGGGTTTCGCTCGTTCACACTCGATATTTGACCCACGCTATTCACACGTAGGCCAGAAAAGGGGGGGGGAAGCGAGGGAGAGAAGGATGTTACAAAAAATCGTGGTATTTGGGATTTAGGAAGCTCTATTTCTCTCTCTTTCTCTTTCTTTCTCTCTCTCTCTCTCTCACTCTCTCTGATCTCTTTTTATAGCTGTTAATCACGTTTTCTCTATTTCTTCGCATTCATCTGCCTGCCGGATGTCGTTAAACCGTGAAAGTACCTTAAAACCCGTAAGTTTTCTATCTTTCTCTCTCTCTCGGTGTTTCTGCAGCTTTCTCTCTTTCTCAACCTCTCTCTCTTTCGCTCTCTCGCTCTCTCTCGCGCTCTACCTCTCTGAACTTCCCAAAACGATTCAAGTACGAACGAACGAAAACAACTCCGAACCAATTACGACATGAAATTTGGCACGCCGCGTAGTGATTTTTAGGCCCCACCCCCTTAAAATGACTTTTTCAGTAATTTTTATGCTTCTTAGCCTTCAGATACTTTTCCGAATGTTGCGTAACTATACTATTCCCCGTGTTACACCCAACTACAAGCCTCCAAACATCTAGAAATCCCTGTTCCGCAATGGGCCTGTGCACACATCCACGAATTCCAGTCATTTTTAAGCTTTTTTTTAGCCTCCACGACATGAACACGCCTTTTTGGGTGCAAATTTGGCCTTGATGTATAATGTGGATTTGGTTGTTTTAAAAACCGGAAATTCGTTTAAATCTTTGTTTTTCTCTCGCTCTCTCCCGTGCTCTCTCTGTCTCTCTCACTCTCCCTCTCTCCACGCTCTCGCTCTCCCACTCTCCCCTCTCTCTCTCTCTCTCTCTCTGTAGCTCTCTCTTTCTCTCTCTCTCTCCATCTCCCTCTCTCTCTCGCTCTCTCGCTCTCTCTCTTTTTAGCTCTCTCCCTCGCTCGTCATATAAGAATTTCCATATTCATCTCCCATTTTCCAGATGAACGAAACGGCCGCCCGGTTGATGCCGCCGGTCAGTGGGATCGACCTGAATCGGTAGATTTTTAAGGTTAAACTCGTTTGAAACCTTAGATTTTCAATTTTCTATAATTTTTTGATGTTTTTTTTTGGTTATTTTAATGGCTACTAATTTTATACGCAGCATTTTTAGACCCTCCGGCTCCCCGATAGACCAGAAACCGGCGAATGTCTGGGCCAGCGGCGCTCAAATGTTGAACGTGAGTCGTCTTTGGGTTTTTAAAAACTCACAAATTTTACGACGCTTATATAAACACAAATATTATCGATTTTTCGCCAAAAAAAGCGCATTAAAATTCTAAAATTTGGGTTTCAAAAATTGTTTGAGATTCAAAAAGCCAATCAAATTAATCGTTAAACTGTAAAAATTTAACGTTGATTTAAAGTCGAAAATTATTTTTGTTGCATTTTATAAAAGCGTGCTTTTCCAGCTCTCCCCTCCAGCCGGCGATCAAGCCGCGATGCTCGGCATCAATTCCGAACCGATGCAGAGCAGCTCGGGGGCGATGTCACGCGAAAATGAGGAGAGCTGGGCCTCCGACCTCGACAAGGTCAGTCCAAGATACCTCCCATTAATGCGTCTATTCTTCAGAGTGGCGACGACATCTCGGGTGACCCAGAAGGAGTGTGGTCTGCCGACATCGAGCAGGCATTCCAAGAAGCCCTCAACATCTATCCGCCATGTGGGAGGAGGAAAATTATTTTGTCAGACGAGGGGAAGATGTATGGTGGGTGGAGTATCGAGTTTAATAAGTTTAATTTACATAATTGTTCTTATCGATTTTCTCCATTGGTGAACGAAATTTTCCTTGACTTCACAGTCCCTTTAAACCGGGCCATACTGTCAAGGAAGCTCAACTTTTTACTTCCGAATCCCATTTTGCCGTAAGGCTCCAATTTTACATTGCGTAATCGATTACGCCATTTAATGGCGGCCAGGCCTCGCGTGCTTTATGTATTTTACCATTAGTTCCGGAAGCATAAAAAACCCGACTTTTGCCTCCAACGGCCCTTTAACCCCTAGAATTCGACGGGCCTGAGCGGCTATTAGTGCGTAGATTTTCTAGAGATTTCTCGTCCCGTTAACGCTATCTTAATTTAACTTTAACGTTCCCGCTAAATTTTTTGTCAGACTTGTGCCCATAAAATCTTAATTTACATCCCGGCTTTCGCCTTCAACGGTCCTTTAATCCGGCCCGACGGGGCGACTATTAATGTGCAGACTTTCCGGAAGTAGCTGCGCTCTTGAACGCTATCCGTCCATTTAGAGCGACGGCCATTAAAAAGGCAATATTCTCCCCAAATTGTTGCCTTCCACGGCCCTTTATTATTAAACTTTTTTTGGCCGCATTGCCGCCTATTATGATCCATTAATGTGCCAACCATCAAAGCCAAAAATCCCCAGCCCGACCGTTGCCTTCAACGCCCCTTTAATCCCACCCAAATTAGGCAGCGGGGCTAGGGAAGTTGTTAAACGCACTTCCCCAGTAGGAGCTGGCGGCTACTAGAGGTTGTGTTTGTGTTTATAAGACAGAAGCTAGCATTCGGGAGGGATGATGAGGGGGGGGACGGGCCCTTTAGAAGACCACCGCCTGCAAACACCAGGATTAGCCCTTAGGGCACGGGAGAGAGAGAGAGAGAGAGAGAGAGAGGAGAGAGAGAGAGAGAGGGGGGGGGGAGAGGGGGAACTGTTGCACACACCAAATGGCCCCTAGTAGCAGCTGGTGGTGCAAGACATGGACATGAGGGATAGTGAGAGAATTTGGGGGTCTGAATTAAAGGGGCCGACAAGGCATGCTTGTGAAGAAGTCCACATTAATCACCGCTAGCCTGCCCGTTATTTTTACCAGCAGAGTTCATCACTTGGTGAAGCTCTTTTGGTTGATAACATGACTTCAAGGCGCCTTAAGATCTCCTAGCATCCCTAAGACTCTTTGCTAGCCCGCCTCTGGTTCAAATAAATCTTAAACGCCCCTTTAAAATACAAGGTCCTAAACGTTCTCTGCTAGCTTGCCCGGTTTTCGAGTCCTCAGCAATCTCTGCTAGCCTGCCTTGCGTGGTTTTCCGCAAGGGATCTCTGCTAGGCTTCCGCGTTCTGTATCCTCAAGGATGTCTGCTAGCCTGCCTCGCTCGATTTTCCGCCAGTGTCTCTGTTAGCCTTCCTCGCTCTGTATCCTCAATGATCTCTGCTAGCTGCCTGCCTGGCGCAATTTTCCGCAAGGGATCTCTCCTGCCTCGCGTGATTTTACGAAAGGATTCCTGGTAGTCAGCCTCGTGGCTTTTCCGCAATGATCTCTGCTAGCCTGCCTCGCGTATGTTTCCCCAGTGTTCTCTGCTAGCATGTTATTTCACATGATTCCCTACGAATATATGCTAGCCGACCCCACGATTTACCCGACTCCTCAAAGATCTCGGAAGCTTGCCCCCAACTCATTTTTGGCATCTTATTTTCTGGACAATGCCGGCTGCTCGTGGGTTTTTGTGAAGAAGCTCTGGTGAAGCTCATGCTCTTTCTAAGAGCTTCACCTTGCGAAATCCGGGTATTCCCACCCCAACCTCTTCTTCCCTGACTACCGTATCTCCACCCCCGATCATTGCTATATTCAAAAAATGTCTCCCTTCCTTCCTCCACCCCCTGACAAGAGTTGATGGATGCTCAATTTTTTGGGGGCATCGTCGTTTCGTCAGATTTGGGCCCGCGATTTGTGCCCCACCAGGGGGCGGCAGATGGCCCTTTATGGCACGCACGCGGGGGGATTAAATATGCAGCCAGGAAAGGATGGAGACACGGAGCAATGAGTCAAAAAATTCCTGTTTAAAGGGACTGTGAAGTCATGAGCAAATTTTGTCAAAATTTCGGAGAGTTCGAACTTGAAAATCCGCGAAAAGTTACGAAGAAAATCGAGTAAAAGTCGATTTTCAAGGACCCGTGAAGCTCGTGTATAATCTTTCCAATAAACCACATCGAAATTTCCAAAGCAAAAACGTTGAACAACGTCAATTTTTCAGGCCGAAACGAGCTGATCGCACGCTATATTAAAATACGATGCGGGAAATCGCGGACGCGGAAACAGGTAAAAATTACTTTCCTACGGCTCAGACTACAAAATTTCACTTAGACTACAGACCACAGACTATAATTAGAGTTCAAAAATAACTCCAATAGACTCAAAAAATACAAATATCCCGAAAACCGATTTAAGAGCGTTTGTAGTTTGCAGTCTCCTGAAGTTATCATGGACTACAGATTACAACTACAAACTACAGGCTACAAACGGATCACAAAACTACAGACTACAAACTCGAAATTTTTGAAAATTTTCGTCTTTCGAAGGTTGTGGTTTGTAGTCTGTAACTTACAAAGGCCACACAAAATCGCCCCTTTAATTCACGGACTACAAGTTGTTGCGGCAAACTACAGATCCATAATCATGACAGGTTACAGACTACAAACCCAAAAAAATCGGTTAAACCTGAAAAAAGTTGACTTTGTGGTTTTTGGCCTGATTACGATAATTAAATACACCATAATTTATGAATTCGACGCCCCTTTAATCCCAAAAATATTCCAAAAATTTTAGGTGAGCAGCCACATCCAGGTGCTCGCCCGCAAGAAGATGAGGGAGGGCAAGGGGATGAAGGTGAGTGGATTACTGCAATTCTCAATTAATCGATAAATTTCAGCATGACCCCGGATCACCACAAGGCCCCGCCTCCGCCCCTGTTCATCTACCAACCCCCGCATCGACGGCTTCATCCACCTCGCCAAGGGACCCGATCAAGCTTGGAGGCAGCCCCGTGGCTCCAATCGATAAACCAAGCAATCCAGCGTTGCCTACGGTAAGTAACGCTTAATAGGACCAAAAAGCAAAAGGTTTGTTGCGGACGGGGTCGAACTCGGATAGTAAACCTGAGAGGCAAGGTCACTGCCCACTGCACCACAGGGACCAAACCTTTCTTGAGGGCTTAAAGCAAATTTTAATCATATCGTATATTTCTGGTGCTTAGGAAAGTGCCGCTTGGTTTGTGATTAATCGCCTAGCGTAACTGGTTATACGTAAGCGGTATTTCTGCGTAGTTTACAGTATTTTTTTTGCAAAATTGGCGTAAATTAAGCGTTTAAAAGGGGATTTTTAGTCCTAATAACACCAATTTTCAGCACCCCCTGATGATGCCGAATCCGATCACGCCCGAGCTGGACAAGGGCATGCATCTACAGCAGATTAGTACGTTTTCTACCATGAACGGGGGTGTTGTAGTTGGTAGCTTGTATTTTATAGTCTTTCCATTCAGTCTTAAAATGAACTAAAAGATTTAAATTGAAATGTAATTACTTTTCAGCGAACCTTTTCCCCCACCCGTTTCCGTTCCTCCCCGGAATGCCCTTCCCCAATGGAGCATTCCCCGCGGCGGCCTTCGGGTGAGTTTTTGAGTGGAAATCCTTCCTGTCACTGGGCCTTTAAAATAGGAACGTTATTTTTGCAGTACCGACCTCTACAGCAGCCTGGCGATGATCAAGCCTGTCACGCCGCCCGAGGAGACCACCCAGAAAGTCAGCTATCTCGCGTCGAAGCGATTGGCGCTAAAGGTATGGAACCTTAAGTCAAGCCAAGGCTAAGTCAAGCCTAAGACAAACCTAAGCCAAGCCTAAGCCTTGCTGAAGTCAAGCCAAGCCTAAGACAAACCTAAGTCAAGTCTAAGCCAAGTCTAAGCCATGCTTAAGTCAAGCCAAGCCTAAGCCAAACCTAAGTCAAGTCTAAGCCAAGCCTAAGCCATGCTTAAGTCAAGCCAAGTCTAAGCCAACCCTAAGCCATGCTTAAGTCAAGCCAAGCCTAAGCCAAGCTTAAGCCAAGACCAGGATCCTTAGCTTACCTCTTTCTTTAGGACTTCACCGCCTACGTGGAGCACAATGGCCACCGGAAGGAGATCCTCAGCATCACCACGTCGGTCGATGGCGATTTGACGGTTAGTTTTAATTTTTTTTAATTTTTTTTTGCAGCGTTAACGGTTTTCAAATGATTTATACTTTCTATTTTCCCTTCTAGGACATCCCTCTGGACTACCTGAAGGAATACTTCCAGGCCGAGATGCCGCGACTCCGAAAAGTCACCCCCGACGCCCTGTTCCTCGTCCGCGGATGGGCAAACCTCGACTTTGATGTGAGCATTACAGAGGGCTTGCTGTCACCATCCCTTTAAAAAACCATCGCCTAGCGTGTGCGTCGTGTTAATTTTGGAAGCGTAGCGCGTAGAAGTACAAACGCGAAGCGCAGCCAACGTGCGTAGCGCATAGGTAAATCAGCCGCCATACGTACGCGACGCATAGCAACATGTACGTGACGCATCGCGTACTTACTGTAGCTGGAGCAGCGACGCATACGTATTGCGGCGTACTACATGATTTTTCTCGATATATGAAAGTTTTTTGCAGTTAAAATTGCCGTAAACTTCTGCGAAACGTAGCGATCGACCCTCCTCCCACAGTCCCGTCAAAACCGCTATTTATTTTTCAGGAGGACAACTCCTCAGCCATGTATGCGGTAGATGCTCACTATGCCAGTGCCGTCCACTATCCATCATTACGGGTACGGACACTCGCACTCTCCTTCGGGAATGCCGTCGTCGAAAAGGATGAAGTATGAAAAAAGTATTAAAAATATGCAAATCTGGTCCAGGAAATCCCCGCCTCTCCCACCACCAACGCCTTCAACGGCCAATACGAGTATCGGCTGGAGAAATCGGAATGGTTAGTCGATTTTTTACTAATCAAATTTTTACCGTTATTTACAGTAAGAAACAGAGTACCGTAATCATACACTGACGTACTGTACATTGGAGCGTACCGTATCAAAATTTAAACGTATTTTTAGGTGCCAATGGCTGGTCTTGTTCCTCACCCAGCTGAAAGATTTGGAGTCGAAGACCGAACAGGGAGACGTCCTGAATAACTTCAGTGTGTTGCAGGTAAGAGAGAGAGAGAGAGAGAGAGGGAGAGAGACAGAAGAGAGAGAGAGAGAGAGAGAGAGAGAGAGAGAGAGAGAGAGTCCAATATCATCGCATTTTTTAGGAAGTCCGCGGCATCAAAGAAGACAAATCCGAAGAAACCCTGCTCGTCTTCGGCCTGTTAATCGACATCGGCGCCAACTCGTCCACCTTCTTCAAGCTCACCCAAAAATAGCTCGACTACCTCCTCCTCCTCCTCCTCCCCAACCTGCCATACTCTACACACCTCCTAAATTATCAATCCAATTTGCATTTTTCGGCCTTCTCCCCCTTCCTCAACCCTCTCATCCACCCGATTGCATACGAGTCCCGTCATGTTTTCCGCTATTTTGCCTCTGGCCCCAATTTTTTGAATTTTTTGAAGTGTTATGGTGAGATTAGCTAAGATTTTGGTGATCATTCTACGAGGTGTTTTTTTTGCGTGGAGCGATAGGTAGTGCAGCGTAGCCTATCGGAAGTTACGTTTAGGCTTAGGCTTGGCTTAGGCTTGGCTTAGGCTTGGCTTAGGCTTGGCTTAGGCTTGGCAGTTTTGGCTTATGCTTGGCTTAGGCTTGGCGTAGGCTTGGCGTAGGCTTGGCCTACAAAAATTAAACCTTAGACAATTGGCAAATCGCCAAGCCTTTTATTAGCCGGGCTTTTCTGGTTCCTTGAAAAGCCAATTATCCCCATCCAATAATCAGGTAGCCCAGAAAATCCACAATTATCTGCCTTCAATCGTCATTTAAAAACTATTCATCGTGTAATCAATTATGCCAGGGAAGTTCATTGCCAGCTGGCTTCAATGGTCCTTTAAAAACTATCAGTTAAGCCAAAACCTAAGCCTAGGTCGTAATCTTTTGTAACCGATTATACTTGGAAAAGCAGAACACCGAAAATTTGCGATTTCTGATCTTTGAAAATCCATTTTTTTCCGCTCCGATCGTAACCTACCGTACTCTTCCGTACACTCCACGCCCAAAAAACACCTCGATTTGCATTTTTTAGCTTGGATTCCCCCTGCCCCTCCTCGATCCATTTTGTGCCACTCAGTCGACCAAAACTTGTCACAGAATTTGCGAATTCCGGCAGCCGTCTTTTTTTGGCGCGTAGCCTCGCGGAATTTTTTTAGCTCGTTTTTATCGATTTTCCCCAGCGCCGCCACATACACCTCGCATGAACATTTTCGCTTCAGTTACCCCCACCCTCCTCGAATCCTACCATTATTTTCGTCACCGCGACGCCCCACTACGCGATAGTCCTATAGCCAATGTGCATTTTTCCCGCTTTTAAGTCCACTTTTTTGATGTTTTAAAGGGACCGGCAAGGCACGGTTCTAGATTTGGAGGTATGGATTTCTAAGGATTTTCTCGAGACCGCGACACGCAACGCACGCAGGATTTTTCGATTGTTTTGCAGCGCGTTACGTGTCGCGGAAGGGGGCGGTTCTCCGCGTTGCGGCAAGTGATGTCAGATCCCAGGCTTTCCATTGCGTAATCGATCAACTGTCTTTTCCAGCCGGCAAAAGGGCCTGGTTGCGTGTCACGGCTGTTTTTCAGACCCGCGACACGCGACGCATTGGACCCTCAGCCGCGCGGAAAAGGTCGTAATCGATTACGCACTAAAATACGAGTGTATGCGTTGCGCGTCGCGACTGTGGATTAGCTTAAGATTTTCCAAATCCACGACACGGAACGTGCGATCAGTTGCCCTCTTGAAACGCTCGAAATCCGTTATGCTACAAAAAAACTAGCCGGCGTTGCGTCGTGCGTACTGCAAATTCCGTAGGAAATCCATAACCAACAAATCCATTGCCATGCCTTGCCCGTCCCTTTAATACGGTACCCCACAGTCAAACCGCCACCTACCCGAATCCGCCGTGTGTCATTTGTCATTTGTCATTTTTTTGTGTCGTGTTGCGTTCCAAATTGCCAACGTTTCTGGTGTGTTTTTTATTATTGAGCCCTTAGAAGAATGCTGGAAAATGAATGGATAAACGGTTCATTTTAAGGCATTGGTTACAACTACAGCTTAAAAATACAAAATATAACTCAGAAAATGGCAGCGAGAGTGTTAGAGAGCGAGGTAAAGAGAGCAAGAGAGAGCGAGAGAAAGCAAGAGAGAACGAGAGAGAGAGCGAGAGAGAAAGAGAAATAGAGAGCGAGAGAGAGCAAGAGAGAGCGAGAAAGAGAAAGAGTGAGCGAGAGAAAGATAGAGAGCAAGTGAGAGCGAGGTAGAGAGACCAAGGGAGAGCGAGAGAGAGCAAGTGAGAGCGAGGTAGAGAGAGCAAGAGTGAGCGAGAGAGAAACAGAGAGAAAGCGAGAGAGAGAAAGAGAGAGTCGAGAGTGAGGACGAGATAAAGCGGGAGAAAATGAGAGAAAGCGACAGAACGCGAGAAAGCGAGAGAAAGAAAGGGATAGATCCGAAGCAGCGCGATTACATTTGCGGCAACCTAGCAGAGATTCTTTGTTTCCTTTCGAGGCATGCTTGCAGAAACCCTTTATCCAGATCCTTGCCAACTTTTTTGTAAGCCCCTTTCCCGCAAAAAAATCCCAGGGCAAACCATTGAACCGGCGAACATGGCGAGAGCTCCACTCTTTTCTTTCATAAATTATTTCATTTGTAGACAATGGCCACCCATCCCACACCACCATGGAAACACAGCACGGGTTATGCGTAAGCGGCGTCAACGAGCCCCTTCCGCTTCTCACCCACCGCTTTTTCTGTTTTATTTACAAAACATTTTTTTGTTGCGCAATTTTGGAAGGTCTAGACCCAATATTTCAACGTTTGGCCTCGCAATTCCTTTAAGAACGAATTTTTAGATTCAGAACATCGATAAATTCGTAAAAAATGGAATACCGTTTTTATAGATTAGTTATACCAAAATTTTTGAAAACTTAGTCCGAATATTCAACGTTTTTCGCCTTCAAAAACCCTTTAAACACAAAATTATTTCTTTAAAATAAGGAGTAGCTGGCTTAGGTTGAGTACCTTTTTAACATTTTCAATTATACGCATCCAAGACAATTTTTTTGAAATCTAGAAGCAATAAGGTTTTTGCCTTCACAAATTCTTTAAAGACGAATTTCTAGATTCAAAATTAACGGTAACTTGCAAAATTAAAATACCGTTTTTAATATTTTTCATCTTAATACGTTTTAGTGAAAACTAGGGCCCCGAGCCCGGCCAACCGTACGTCAAAATGGCCGTCGGCTTCTTCACCGGCATGAAGCATGTCGCGTACGATTTTGCCGTCTGGTCGACGGTCGCTGCCATTCCGCACATTGCCGATGCGAGGACGAGATGGAGTCGACTGTTTTGGGTGAGAGAGAGAGTGTGAGAGAGAAAAAGAGAGAGAGAGACATAGAGATAGCGATAGAGAGAGAGAGAGTGAGAGAACCAACGAGATTGATCGATAATTTTGGATTCGGTACATTCTAAGAGCCAAGGCAAGCTAGCAGCGACCTCTTAGAAAGCAATTCCTGCCGCTCGCAACTATCATGGCAGGCTAGCAGAAATTCCTAGCGAAATGCGATAGAGTGATATAGGAACAATAACCTAATAACTACAAATTTCAGTCAGGCTAGCAGAGTTTCCTAGAGAACAAAATCATATCAAACTTTTCCAGTCGCTCGTGTTCGCCATCATGATGTTGGTGTTCCTCGGCGAGGTGTTCTTCATGGTCAAAAAATTTCTCCAATGGCCCACGCAGATCGATACCGTCATCTCCTATTCGCAACTTGTGAGTGAACATTTAAATCTTTCATCTTTTTCAAAAAATCTTTTCATCTTCTTCAAAAAATTTTTCAAATCTTCAATTTTTAAAGATACTTTACCAATTCAGCCATTCCCCGCAGTGACGATCTGTAACCTGAACCCCTACAAGTATACCGTCGTCAGCAACGCCGCGAATACACGTAAATTCACTTGCCACTGCCCCTTTAAAATCTACGAAGCCTTCAGAATTCGACCAAGTGCGCGCCTTAATAGCCGCGTCGGTGAACGCGATGAAGGACAACTACCAGCAGAGCTATAGCGGTGGCACGGATCGTTGGGGAATTCAGGTACGGTAGTTCTTGCCTTAAAAGGACTTGCAAGCCAAGTTATTGACGCGTTAAAGTTCATCTACAGGACCATGGGCTCTTTTCAGGCCCTATGGGACCAACCGTACGAGCTCGAGACGACGATCAAGGACTCGCTGATCATCGAGATGGCCGCGTTGAGCGATGCGGATCGAGTGGGTTTTGTCCGTCTTCAAAAAACCATTTTTAGCAAGCCGCCCTGTACGGCTACGACGAGCTGGTCACCGAGTGCACGTTCAACTCGAAATCTTGCAGCGGGTGGGTCTCAAAAAATGGAAAATTTGCCCAGTTACGGTAGATTTCCGAGTATAGCTTAGTGGTTTATGTAATTTTTCAATTTTTGCACCGAAGTTCCGGATTCATGCCTTGACAATCCCTTTAAAATCTTCGGATTTCGGAGTACGGTAGATTCGGCTTTGGTTGACCTTTACAGTCCCTTTAAAACCGGCGTTCCCTTTAGCGTCGACTTCACGAGCTTCGTCGACCCGGTCTACGGCGCCTGCTACTCGTTCAACGGCGCCGGCTCCTCGGATAACGCCACCTACCAGAGCTCTCGTGCCGGCATGCGCTTCGGGTTGAAGCTGCTAATGACTCCTACCGTACCCTGAGCTATTCTTCTTAACACTAGTGCCTTTTAGCAAACCGAACCTTCCGGGCAGGCCGACGTTCTGCCGACTACGCAACTGTCCGGGGCCAGGGTTTCTGTACATACGCAGGTAAAAACGTGGAAAAGCTGCTCTGTTTTTCTGGTTGATTTTTCAAAAAGTCATAACAAATTTTTCGCAGTCCAAAAAATCATAGAAATTTGAAGAAAAATGCCATTTCTAGGGAGCTTTCCCATCCCTTGAAGGCTCGGCCATCAGCGTCGGTGTCGGCTACTTGACTGCGGTCTCGATTTCAATGGTTTGTCGAGCCTTATAGGGCCTTTTCCCCCAAATTTTCCCTGCTAGCTTGCCTTCTAGAATCTTCAAAATTACGTATAAGCTTAGACATCCACGAGCCGCATGAAGAGCCCTTATGGAACGTGTGTCGATCGAGAACCTTCGAGTACAGACTACTATCAACAGTACCTGTACTCCTTGGAAACGTGCTACTTGGGGTGCAAGCAGAGGTGATTGATTAGATCTTTCTCTGGCCTCTTTGTAACCTCTCTCTCTCTCTCTCTCTCTCTCTCTCTCTCTTCTCTCCTCTTCCCCCCCCCCCCCCCCCCCCCCATTCCCAGTTTTTAGATACAACGTCGACAAGTGCAGCTGTGCCCACCCCCGATTTGCATCCGGATCTGGGCAGGCGATTTGTGACTATAATGCAGGTGGGTTGAAGTCGGTTAGGCTTGGCTTAGGCTTAACTTAAACTTGGCTTAGGCTTAGCTTAAGATTTGCTAGGCTTACCCTTCAAAATATCATTTTAGTGGCCTGCATCCAAACCCTGAAAGGAGATCAACTCAGCGCCACCCAGAAGAATATTGACGCGATGACGGTATCGTATTCTTGGGGCGATACGGAAGCTAATTTTTTAGGATTGCTCCTGTGCCCCTCCATGCGAACAAACTGGCTTTGGAACCACGACTTCGCTGGCCGCCTTCCCCGCCCTCAGCTATTACGTAGCTGCCGATTCGTCAGCTGCAGACGCGGTGGGTGTTTTTCCTATTTCCTGAATAACCTTTGCTAGCTATCCCGAACCTTCATATTTATTCATCCTTGAAGTTTAACCCTAGATTTTTGAGTTTTATAAATGATTACTGCTCGTTAGATTCCCCAAAAAAACTTTGCTAGTCTGCCCGCAATTTAGCGCTTCCACTAGGAATTGATTCTTTCCCAAAATATTTCTGCGAGACTGCCCGGGCTACTTGATTCTTTTAAAATTTCTCTGCTAGTTTGCCTTTCAGCCAGGATACCCTTAATAATCTTCTGGAATTCCTGATTCTCGTGCCATTTTAAATGAACTCTGCCAGCTGCTTGACCTCCTGATTTCCTACAAATCTTGGCTAGATTCCCTAGTGCTTCGATTTTCTCCAAAGATCTATGCTAAATTGCATCCACGTAATTGGATCTCTGACACCATATCTTGCATCCATTCATCGTAAACAATTTCGCTTATATCGTCCTGTTTTCCCAATTTCCCTGAAAAATCTCTGCTAGCTTGCCCTGGGTTAAGGGTATTCTATAAACCCCTGTCGGGTGCTCATCAGCTCATCAAAATTCTGCTTTTCCTAAAGGCTCTCTGCTAGCCTACCCCTCCCGGGGTTTCCCCAAAGAATTTCTGCTCCCCTCCTTACAGCTTATGATATTTTTTTTTTTGAAAGCCCCGGCAGATGATAACCAGTGACGCAAGCTGAGTACTGGCTAAACCCCGCGATTATCTCTTGACGAAAACACCGGCGGTGCTTTATAGGGCAGCTTATCCCCTCTGTGGAATGTTCTGCCATTTCCTGCCCAAATTAAGCCGCTTAGTCCGCCCCTGAAAAAAGGGCGATAAGCTTCAGGGAAGTGATCAGACGCGATCAGCGGAAGGGATTGATCCTGGTTTTTGGTGAGGGTTTTTTGAGGTAAAAAAATGGGGTAGTAATTTTTAGAAATACTTTCTGGTTCTCTCTTCCATTCGCTCTCTCGCTCTATCTATCCCTCTCTCTTTATTGTGATCTCACACACTCTATCTGGCTGACTATCTCGCTGTTTCTCTCTCACTCACTCCCGTTCTCTCTCTCTCTCTCTCTCTCTCTCTCTCTCTCTCTTTCTCTATCTCTCGCTCTAAGATCTCTATCCATCTCACACTCTCTCCCTTTGTTTCTCTCCCCCTTCCTCTCTTTTTCTCTCTCTCACTCTCCCGCTGTATCACTCTATCGCTGTCTCTCACGCTGTCCTTTTCACTCTCACACTATCTGACTCTCACTCTCTCTCTCTTTCTCTATCTCTCTCGCTATCCAAGCTGTCCAAACCCCTTTAAAATTTCAGATCGGCTCCTGCCAACCGGGCACCGCCCAATTCGCGGGAACCGGCACGAATGCCTCAAAAGCCGAGGAGTGCCGAGAGTGGTATGCCCAGAATTCGCTGCTTCTCCAGGTTGATCATCTACTTGGTAACCACCTAGGACCGTATTTTAGGTCTTCTACGACTCCCTCAACTACCAGCACTACCAGGAGAATGCTAATTATGGTGTACGGGTTTTAGAAAAAGCCGACAGTAAAAATCCCGACAACGAAAACCCCGTGACTTTGACCGTCGGGATTTTGGCTTGTCGGGATTTTGACCTGTCAGGATTTTCTCTATCGAGACTATTGCTATAATTCACTTTCCAGATCTCACAAGTCCTCAATGATCTTGGTGGCCACGCTGGACTCTGGTTAGGATTGTCGATTATTTCGGTTGTCGAGGTGGGGTCTTAAATCTTTCAGAGTTTTTGGCTTCCTAGGATCAAGGCAAGCTAGCAGGGATCATTTGCGGAATTAGATTTTCTGACAGCAAAGATTTTTAAGTGCGTAATTTCGGGTCAACTAGCAACGACGATTTGGGGGGCCTCCAAAATTCGCAAGATCTGGGAGCAGGCCAGCAGAGATTTTTAACGATTTTCAAGCAGAAAATCGAGGCAAACTAGCAGAGATTCATGAGGAAACCGATTTTCCCAGATTTGCGGCCTCTTCTGCGTGCTTTGCCTCTACTGCTTCGGCGGCCGGAAGAAGCTCATCGACCCGTCCATGCTGAATAGCGACCCGAGGATGAGGGTACGGTAGCTGATCCAGGATATAGGCAAATTTTCAGGATTTGGATGACCTAAAACACGACCTCGACAATATGGAGGCCGACGATAAGCAGAAGGAGGCGCAGGCTGTAAGTTTCTATAGGAGCCTATCGGAAAATTGCATTTTTAGGCGGAACAAGCGGCAAAGGAGGCCAAGGAAGAAGCGGCGGCGGGAGCAGCAGCTATGGCAGCGCCTAAATAATTGTTATGATAAATAAAATAAATCAAAAATCGGGTTAATGCACGCAATATCTATATGTTATAGGGCCGGTAAGAGAGTTTTGGCCATCCGGTTTTAGGGTTTAAGTGGACGATAAGGACCCGTTGAAGATTAAAAATTAGTGGCAAAAACCCATTAATCTAGCGCTGAATGTCATACCACGCACTTCCAAAACCCTTTAAATAGACGCTCTGTTTTTCAGTGCATAGTTATGTTTTAGAGGGGGCATTTTTTTCTCCAAAAATGCCCAGTGTCTATCGAGTTTCAAAGGAACGTTCTTTATTGAAAACAATTTCCGCATCCCATGAAAAATCCGAAATTGCGGAAAAATTAAGAAAGAGGAAAATTTTAAAAAAGTCCACGCCGGGAAATGACAAAACGGTACTGGTGGTCAAATGTGTCATTGAATGCGTCAACTTCCCTCAATGAAGAGAGCATTACTGGCAACCCGCGAGAAACTTAAATTTTTTGATATTTTTTTTTTGGAAAAATGCCTTTATGCGACCTACGTATTTTTGTTACTACACTCTCCGGTCGAGAATTTTGTACGTAGTCTTCTGCCCGGGGACACCCGCCACCACCCCAGCCCTTATCAGCTCTCCAGAATATTTTGAGAAGTCGGCCCTGCTGAGCCTCAGATTTGATAGGTTCACAGGAGCTCCCTCCTCCCCCTTCCTGGGCCGCATAATTAATCTCGTTGATCCCGCTCATCGATCACCAGCCACTCTTCAGCTACTTCTCCAACTCGAAAAAGTGGCCAATTCCTAGAAAATATCTAGAATGAGCCAGAAAATTGGTGAGTCGGGCTGGGGAGAGTTTTAAAGGGATGTGGAAGGCAGAATTGTTCAATTAAACGCACAATTCTACATGTCGAAAGCTAAAAACCATTCAAATTAAGGGTTCTTTTATATTACCGGGGGGGGCCACAATTTTTTTCTTAGCCCAGAAATACATAGTAACGTAATAACCAGTATTTTAATAGTGTTTTTAGTAAATTGTACCTATATTTCAAGTAGAAAAACAAATTAAAAACTTTTAAAAAAAATGAAATTTTGGTTGAAAATCGGCCAGATTTGGGCGAAAATAGCTTTGTTACGTATTTTTAATCGAAATTTTAATATTTTGGTACGTTTAAGAATAGTATAAAACAGTTAAAATATTGCATCTATTTATATTAGAAAAATCCCGTCCTAAATAAGTAGTTTTACTTTTTAACTCTTTTTCAGATCTCTCGAAAATCTTCACCAAAAACAATTTCCTCGTCCAGACGGCGCTACTTGGCCTAATATTTCTAATCGGGCTCCAGTCGCTATATTCCTTGAAAGTAAGTTCCATTTTTTTAGCGCTTTTTTAACGTTATATAGTGATGGATTTTTAGCTTTTCGTCGATGTCTACAACTTGTCCACCTTCAAGCTCAACATTGTTCAGGGGCTATTTTTAGTGTGGAATGCCGTCAACGACCCACTGATGGGCTATTTTCAAGTATTGTTTCTATAGCTAGCTTAGGCTTAGGCTTGGGCTTTTAAATAAATAAAACAAGATTTTGGAATTCTAAACCGATTAAAGCACGCGTTTTCCGGGGTTTTTCGTGAGTTTTGCTTTGACATTTAATGTTCAAAGAAACTAAATAAAATATCCCGCATTATGTAATTAGTTAACCCAATAATTTTCCTTTTTTCCAGGACGTCGGCTGCGGAATCTCGTGGATCATGGACCGGCGGAAGGTGATGATGTACGCGGGCCCAGTCTGGGCTGCCGTTTCCCTCATTTTTTGGTTCCCGCTGTCGACGTCAGTTTTTGACAGCTGAGAAATATTATCAAACTTTGAAGTTCAAACGATCTGCTCGTCGCAATTCACTTCCTGGTCGCCCTATTCTCGTACGACACCCTAATGACGCTCGTCGGGTCGGCGTACTGCGGCATTTGCGTTGAGGTGGGCGCTTTTTTTATAGACCGGTAACCTAAAGCAACGATATAAAAACAAATACGATTATAAAAAGCCGTACTAACTATAAAAATAACCTGCAATCATTTAAGTTGGGCCAAGATCACCAAGGTAGAGTGAATATTGTCGTCCTCGGCGAGATATTTGCCATAATTGGTAGGTTTTTATAACTAGCCAACCAAAAATGTATTTAGCCGGCTTCGTCATCTTTCCGATCGACTACTTATCCGGAAATATGCAGCATCTCGGCATTTTTCAGGTTTGTCCCGCTTTCAAACCCTAAAAGACGCTCGAAATTTTATGAAAACCTTTTGAAAACCTTGCAAAAATCATCTACAGGTCTGCGCCAGCGTCATCTGCGTGATTGCCGGGTTGCTCATGTTCATTTCCGCCTACTTCCTCGATACACCTGAAAATCCTGAAAGTAAAGCCGCAGAAGTCGAGTTGGATCTGGTATTTCCTTAAAAAAAACACGAAAAACTTGATGTTCTTCTCCAGCTCGCAAAAACGGGAGTAGATGAGCCGGTGGACATCTTCAAGGCGCTCGGCATCACATGGGACATCGTGAAGCAGCCCCGATTTTTGTGCCTTATTGCTTCGAATTTCTTCAGGACGTTGCGGTAGGTCGATCGGTACTGGATTGGGGGCTAATTTTTTCGGCTTAAATTTTTGGGTCAAGAAAGTTCATGAAAAGAGTAAAACTTGCGAAAAATCTTGGTTTTTTTTAAAAAATCCTCCTAATTTTCAAATTTTTATTTTTAAAAAAGTTTTTATGATTTATGAATGATTAAAAACTACGAAAACGCTATGAAACTACGCCAAGAACCGCTAAAAAACTTCTAAACTAGATAGCTCCCCGCCTGGCGAGAATCCACCCCCGCTAACAGTCCAGTACCAGGTTACCTTACTTTTGTAGCGCTAGATTAGCTATTACGACTTTTACTAGTTCTACAGCTTCTCTTTTTTTCAGAACCATGGCCAGCGAGCAATTCCTGTTGATGTTCGTGCCCTCGCTGCTGTCCAGAAACGGCTTCATGCCGCTCGGGTCCGTGGAGTTGACCGTTTTCTACATTCTTGTCAGAACACTAGGAAGGGTAAGCTTTTCTAATTCGGTATTAGACGATTCCTACCTTCAGGTACTTTTCCTATTCCTCTTCTACCCAGTTCATCGCCACGGTGCCCACCCAACCCTGCTGGGGCTGAACGTCTTGGCGTTGATCTCGGGCGCCGTCATACTTTTCATCGGACGCGCGGCCTACGCTGCCGTCGCAGTTTATATCCTCGTCGAAAAGTGAGCCTTAGGGCCTAGAAAGACATTAAAATACAAATAAAAACCCGAAATACCCCCTTGAAATAATTCCCAACTTATTGCGTCTAGTACAGCACACTCGGCCGGTGCGGAGCCCAGGGGTTATACCTGCTCATCTGCGGCGAGGTGATCGACACAGATCAAGCGTTGCACAAAAGGAGGTCAGTCCCTAGAATTAATGAAACTGTAAAAGTACCTCTTTAGCTTTAAGCTGTATATATACCTCTTTAAGCTCACCGCTGTCGACGCTGATCTTCACCATCAAGGCGCTGTTCAACAAGCCGGCCGAGCAGTTGGCCCCGATCATTATGATGGCACTACTGGACTTTGGCGGTTATAGCCGATACAAGGTATATTGGAGAAACGATTTGGTGCTTTCGCATTATCGGGGGGGGGGGTCGTTTTATGAAAAATTGAAAAATTATAAATTGGCCCTCCAAAATAGTAGATTTTCGACTAAAAGTAGAGTTATTTAACCTTTTATCCGTTTTCTAAATACTTTTCCCAGTTTAAACACCGGAAACAACATTTTATGAAAAACTATTAAACTGCCAAAGTATGAAATTTATCCCTGACATTAGCTTTTAAATTACAATCTAGGTACCGTGCGGAGCTGTTGTTTCCGCTTCAACCACTAGAATTCCTGTTGTTGATATCGGCACGACACCGGCTTCATTGATATCTAACAACTTTTCGGACCCTGCCAATAGCACAATATCTACTTCAATCATAACAAGGTAAACACGATTACTTTACTATTACCTTTTCAATAGTGACTCCGAATTCTGCGTGGATCTCTTCGAAGCGATGTTTCAAGTGCTCGTGTGGTGGCCGTTGGTCTGCATCATTGGCGAGTCGATCTTCATCGTCATCGACGTGTACTTCAAGTAGGAGGAATCCAAGAGACCCTAAAACATCATTCAACATTTACAGACGAAAAATCGGGCCCCTTCCGTCGATGACTCCGAGCAAGAACCACCGCCGGCACTCTGTATGTTCGATGCAGGAGGTGACAAGGCCCGTTTAGGAATAAAATATATTCATTAGAAAAACCCGGTGGGTACAAAGGGCATGCAGAAAAAAGGTTGTAGAATAGGGATACATTATCGTGAAACAAAACTAACCGACTAGGAATCCGAAAACAAGGATTGAGGCTTTGGGTAGAAATGGACGACCCAAAAATTCATTAGGAATACAAAACGAGTTAGCAATGGAGAAATGTACATCGTGATCTGGTCAATAAAAAGAGGTAATCTTCGAGTCTCCAGGGCATCATCCACGCTGCAACAACATCCAGTCTATCGGCGCGACGTACCGCCGAAACCTGAAAGTGATTTATTAGTCCCTTTTTACGGGTTTATTAAAACGTATGTGAGTGGGGGATAGCAAAACCAGTTAGGTCAAAAACCAAAGACGATATTAGCAAAAAAAGGGTTCTTTCGCAATATCGGGTCATGCGAAATATCGATTTTTCTGCCTAAATGTCAAATTTCTGAACATTTTCTACTTGAATACAGCTAAACTTTCTCAGAAAGGCCTCCCCAAAGGGTCTCAGCGAAAAAAATAAGCCCCGAAATCACGAAAACTCGCTTTCGAAAGCGCCGAAAAAGTTTTATCAGCTAAACTCGGTAAAATGCGGACCGGTGGACTCGTGCTCGCCGTGGTCCGACTCCTGCTGACGCGCCTCCTCCCGCTGGCGCTCGTCCCAGTCATCCGGGGGGTTGAACCAACCTGTCGACGAGTGCATCCCAGAGCTCGACGGGGCGCTGGGCGTCGATCGGTGGCGCATGCTTGACGATGGGTTCGACCTGGAAAAGCTTGGGGTTTGTTGAGCACAAAAAATGGGCGTAATTAGCGAATTGCGCTCACCATGCGTTCTGCGCCCGGCTTGCCATATATCCAGCGGCCGCGCCAAGGCCGGCGCCTGACCAGAAACCGGGTCCTGATGAAGATGAGGCACCACCCATTCCTGAAACATCAATTTCACAGTTTTTAACAAAAAAACACTAAATTAAATTCAGCTTTCGGAAAATGTTGCCATTGATAGCCAAAAATCTATCAAAAAAAAAGCCCTAAACTAAACAAACATTTTTTAAGGCGTTCAAAAAGGTTACGACAAATGCCACGCTACTAAAAATCCTATATTTACTGGGCTTTTATCAGCTATATTTGAAAAAAGGGCTTTGCTCCCGCGCACACTTTCGACAAGCGTAAACAAATGCCTATAAATATACCTTGCTGGGTAAAAGTGCCTTTGTGATGATCATCATATGGTGGTGGTGCTCCAGGCGGCCGGCCATCTGGTCCTCCACCGCCGCCGCCGCCTCCGCCGGGTCGCCATCCGGGATACGGAGGGGGTCCACGTCCTAAAAATTACCATCAACAACCTCCTTGAAAAACCCACCATCAGGCCCCGTGCCGCCTTCACCGTTTTCACCCCATTTTGAGTAGATCGAATAAGCGATGAACAGCGCTATGAAGCCAAAGATGATCAGGATCGGAGAATAGCCCCTAAAAATCTCTAGAGCTCGAAAAATCGACTTACTGCTCGCGTTCTTTCTGTGCCATCCTCGTCTTGCCAGTCCTGTCGCTGTATTCCAACTCGTATTCCAGCTAAAAATCCAAGAACTAACCCACAAAAAATGGCATACCCCGCAAGAACCGTAGAGTACGTAGGGGTCATTTGGGTAATCGTAGCCCTCGCAGCTGACAGTAATCTAAACCCATTTTTGCTAAATTCCAAACAAGCTCTACCCTGCCAAACTCGTAGCGATCATCCATGTTAGCCGTACATTCCCATTGATAGTCGTGCCCGTCGAATCCCTTATTCTGGCATTGCACAATCTTCGGCGTGAACAATCCCTTCGCCGACCCGCCGACGCATTTCAGCTGCGGAACGCCGCTCGAGCGCCTACCTGAAAGTATTTTCATAATCCTTGAGAAGCTAGCCTCACCGGTAGTTTTCTGGTTCGAATGGAGGGTCAAGCTTTGTACATCAGACAGGAGCACCTTTTCCGCGCCATAACATTCTAAACAAAAATCATCAGCAAAAACACTATCGCATACCGAAAATCTGTAATAACACGAAGTAAAGGACCGCTAGTATCCGAGGCCGCGTTTTCATAGTTCAATCTGAAAAATCAGTAGGAATTTTGAGGGCATTGAAATCGCATCGAGAAGGCAGGAGGAAACCAGGAAAGGAAAGCAAGGGGTGCACGTTTCGAGTCATCCTTATGCTGACGGGGCCTAAGCTGTGAATGACGAAATTTTCGTTTAGGTCCGCTTATTGCAGGACGCACGACGAGTTTGCCACTTGACAAATATCGGTAGAAAATAAAAGTAAGCTCCTCCAAATGAAGATGGTGCCATAAAGTTTAGGTTCTAATTAGCTTAAAACAATAAAAATCACGAAATAGCGGTATTTTCAAAGGTTCTACAACATCCACAGCGCCCTTTTGGGTGCTTTCGAAACAGAAACGGTGGCAACCAATCATTCTGGAGCCATATTTTCAAGCTTTTGATAAGAACAAATTGTAAACAACAACAACAAAAAATCATCAGGCGCCCGCCCCTAATTCGCTGTCGTCACCGATTATCCGTGCTTAGTAACCAGGCGGATTTCCGAAAAGGCTGCCAAAAAAGTCGAAAAGCCGTTTATTTTAGTGTTTTATTAAAAAGTTACAAAGTTATTCATCAAAATTATACATTTAGGTAATGCCTGTGGATAAGGGAAGCCGTGTCTCACAACTCGGCATCCTCCTCGAGCACAAGAACCGCTCCATCCGACAAGAAGCCGTCGCCGCTTTTTCTAATTTTGTACCCAGCGACCAAAACACGAGAAATGTGGGTTTTTCAAAGAGTTTATCAACGGATTTTAGGTTTTACTCGAACATCTAGTCAGCACCTCCTGGGAGGCACGAGTCTCAAGCTCCGACGCCCTCGGCGCCGTCCTAAAAGCCCTGCCCCCGGTCGACAGATTGTCGCCAAAAACACGGGTCTTGCCTGAACTCCAAAACCTCTCCCTCCATGATCTCATGCTCAACCACCGGCCGTTGTTGAGGTTAGGCTTGGTTTTACCCTCTGGCTGGCTGGAGAAATGAGACAGATTACATTTTCCTATTTAGCGCCTCGACAAACGTGATCGACGATGGCAGTCGTTTACGTCTAAATGTTCGCCAGCAGAGGGCCCTCATCGATCAGCACCTCGATTTTCTACCCCAACAAACTGGTTAGAGATTGATTGACCAAAATATACCCAAAATTTCAGGCCAGACGTCCAACTCGTTTATCAGCGACTCGGATGTGCTTGCCGAAGGGAGAACTGGCTCCCCAAGGCGGTATGAACAAGGCCAGGTAAGCTAAACATGATTAGTTGTGGAGCTAATTTTTATAGAACTTGGCAGCCGCGGGCGATTTGGTCCGAGAATCAGTTGACGCAGAGCAAGAAGACCCAGATAGTTTGGCCATCAATGAGTTACTGCGAATTCAGGTATGAAAATGCCGATGTGTCCTATACCACGCTTTTTCTTCAGCTCTCCAGACTTGCCGACGAGCAATGGCAGACACGGCACGGTGCCTCCCTCGCTATGGCTACTTTACTGAGTTCCGCCTGGAACCGGTTCGTTCGTTTTTTCCCAGGAATATAGGAGAGCTTAGGATACATCCGATAATGCGCGACACGGCCGCATTGCGAATTCTTCAGGTATTTTTTTTTAAAAGCGACGCTCCGGTGATATAGGTGCTGGCCCTGGACCGCTTCATCGATTTCGTTTCGGGCCGTGCGGCGGCGGCTCCGGTCAGGGAAAGTGCGGCACAAGCCTTGGCGCATTACCTATTCCGGTAAGAAAATGGATTTTTTGCGGGCTCGGAAAATCCGTACTTGAATACGTAAATTTTTTAATAACAAAATTTCAGGGCTAACGAAGAGCGGCGCACCGTGATTCTGCACCACTTGAAGGGTCTACTAGGCATGGATGGAGAGCAGGTAACTAGGACGAAAATTAAGTATAACGTTTTCAGGTCTGGGTCTGTCGTCAAAGTGCACTGCTGGTGATGAAGTATCACTTTGTGATCACGCCATTCGATGACACGTTCTCGCTTTTCTTTGGCTACGTTGTCGAGAAGCTGTCGGATCCGGTAGATGATGTAAGCATTTATTGCATAGCACAACCGTAACCCAATGTTTTGAGGTTGTCTCAACGGCGGTCACTGCCCTCTCGTCACTTTTCGAGAACTCTTCCGTCCAGGAGCGACAAAACACCTTTATCGTCAAAGTTGGCTCGGCAGTCTGGGAGCTACTGTCAGCTGAATCGAAAAAAGAGCAGGTAGACAAAATTCTCGGTTTTTTTATAACTAAATTAGTTGCACTTTGGAATGGATATGCTTGCCGTGGATTTACTCAGGATCATCGAACGCTGGATGGCAGCTGATGAAGCGGTAGGTTTTCCGTTCTTGTTCGTTATCGTGGGGGGACAGATTTCATTTATTCACCCTAACCCCATCACGAATAAAACATAAACACATTTTATGGTGTTTCTACCCGTTTCTGGTTGCCAAAAGCTTATGTAGCCGTTTTAAAAGGAAAATTTTTGGCAATAAAGCAGTTTTTTCTGAATTTTTACCCAAAAAAATGAAATTTTTCGAAAGCTGATAGCGCCTACTAAAAACTCCCCCCTCAAACGAACCAGTACCAAGGTTTCTGTGGACCTTTAGTCTCTCGATTTTTAGACGACGCTTTCTGCCCAGCAACTCTTCACAATCACCTCACTTCTCGACGCGGCCTTCATTTCGCGCTCCCATAAATGTGTCCGTTTAATCGGCCTGGCCACAAAGCGAGGGGTCGCAGCTCTGACGTCAAAAGTGAGCTTCACCTTTTTTGTTGAACTCATCATTTTAGGAGCTCTTCAACATCCTCAAGCAATTCTACCGGATCCTTTTATTCGCGGCTCCAGAGAACTCGCTCGGCATGCTAGAAGAGATTTATTTGACGGCTTTGTGTATAATTGAGAGGTATTTAATGTGCTATTTTCCTTCAAATTTTTCTAGGTATCGCGACGTGCTAGCTGACGAGGATTCTCTCTTGCAGTCAATAGGTTTTTGGATTAGTTGTTTGATGCTGGATCATCGAAGCCCAATGATAGGTAGGAAAAGCTAGCTGGTTTGACGCTTCTTCACCTTTTCAGATGTTTTCACCTGCCATGTGGACGGTGCGAGTAGTTTACGAGATAGGCCTGAAGAGCGTATGTGTAGTGAAGAGGTAGATTTTTAGCTATTTTTTGAGACCTAAGATTTTCTTAGATCTCATTCTTGGATGCGCCTGCCATGGGCAACGTGTACATTACGCGGAAAATTTTGGCCGCAAAATTCCTGGCTCCGTTGCTGATCATACTTTATGGCAGCAAACGAATCGTCGATGGGCAAGATTTGTAACTCTTTCTGGGCGTCTTGAAATTTTCGTTTTTAGGAGTTATTCCATCCAAATGGCTTTGCTCCCCTTCATCCAGTCGAATGCCCTCTATCAAAACCTCGGTGCCGCGCTGCTTTCTAGCGAGTTTGCCGGCTCGTATAAAGTTGCTATCGCGAGGTTGGGAATTTTACAAACAACACGCACTTGAGTTTTTTAAAATTATTTTTCATTATCTAAAAATGTGCTGATTTAGCGGTCAAACCCTCGTGCACCCGGTCCCACTGCTCACCGCCCTCGATGCATTACTGCGAGTCGGGCAGAAGAATTTTGACGAATTGGCAGGAACAGTGGCCCAGGTGAGAAGGTTATTCGGAATTCGTTGCGTCAGAAAAATTTAGGTGAGACCTAATTTTTTAGCCTGATTTAGCTATTTTCAGATGAAAGATTATTTGGAACGCTTAAAAAATGTTATAAAAATCTTAAAGTTTGAAATTTTTTATCCGAAAAGTCGAATCTTTGGCATTTTTTTAATCAAAATTAGAGATGTTGACGTATGTAAAATATAATCTTGGTACTAAAATTAGCTGGCTTTCATGCGGAAAACTTTCAGAAAAACGTAGGGGAATGTTGAGGCATTTGAAATTTGGTCGAAAATCGTTATCTTTTGTAATTTTTACTTTTAGGAATATTAAAAATAGTTTGGAAACAGTTCCTCTATTTATTTGCGAAAGATAGGGTCCTAAAAAAATCTATGGATGTTTATTCGAGGCTTTTAGTTGACGAAAGACTGCAACAACTTTATCATCTTCTGCTGTGGCCGAGGGGCCGATCGGAATGCCGTGAATTCTGATGATGCCAGTATTGAGGAGACAGCAGGGTAGTGTCTTTGAAATTTTTTTCAACTTTTTCGAAATTTCAGGTTAGCTTATGAACAGGCGATGGGCCAGTGCACGAACGAGAAATCTCGCACAGCCATCGAGCAGCGCTACCGTGCGCTGCAAGAGGGCATAGAATATACCAGAGCCGCCATTCGCACGAATACCACGTATTAACTCTTTTATGTGGCATTAAAATCCGTTTTAGACGCATCTACGCATTTGCCGCGTCGACCCTCTTCAGTTTTGGGTGTATCGGTGAAAAATTCACCCCATTGATTCGGCCTTTAATTGACACGATGCAGGTTCTTGAAATTTCTATGCGTTCAAGAGACTTTTTCAGACCGAAGAAAATGAGACCGTTACCGCAGAAGTGTTCAAAGCCGCCGTGCCATTGTTGATTGTTTATAGTGCACAGCGCGCTCCAAAACCCTATGTGAAAGTATGTCGTAATTAGTAATAACTGATGGTATTTATTTAGGTAATAGCCAAGACGGTAGAGCTCTTTGCCTCATGTACAAATCGAGTCCCAGTTGAAACGGGGTAGGCATTGGTTTACTATTTTTTTTTAATTTTACAGTAGCTATGACGGGTCCGACTTTTCTTCACAAATCATATCACTGACGCCAGGACGGGAGCCGAGTTGCACCTCGAAAAACGCCGAGCTTTTTCTGCATGTTTGCTGTACTTTTCCTGTGAGATTTGATGAGATTTTGGTTCTGTCGCATTATCGGGGAGAGGAAAATTTTTATATAAGGCTCGAAACGCCTAGTAACTCAGTAGGAAGTATTTTATTAATGTTTTTAGTAGGATAAACTATATTTTAAAAAGAACACTATTTACAAGCTTTTTTAAAAGTCAAAATGTTGGTCAAAAATCGGCAATTTTTGGTCGAATTTGTAATGTTTTTACGTTTGGGACTATTGAAAAACAGATACTTCCATTATTATTTATTTGAAACACTGGACCCTAAGAAAAAAATCCACCCCCCACCGATAATGCGAAAGAACCGAGGTTTTTGCAACTATCTCATTTTCAGCTTGATCAACTTCCCGAATTTTATGAATACTTTGATCTCGACGCTGACATTAACGATTCGGAATTCATTCTACGGCTAGAGCTGCACAGGGCGCTGTGGATGCGGGTTGGATCAAGATTTTCTGATAAGGTATTGTTAATACTGTTTAATGTTTATTTCTATTGTTAAATTTAGTCAACGACACGGGTGCTCTCCTTCTTGTCATCTCCCCAATCCCACAAAAGACATGCCGCCGCCAAGGCAATTACTACGTTTTTATGCTCATCACTTGTCGACACCCTCGAACGGTAGAGAGGGGTCGGGATTTTTGGGATACTCCCTATTACAGGGTTTACTCTGCGTTGAAGTTGATGGTTGTGAATCTCGAGGATGCCAACGCTAGGCGTGGCGCTTTGGAGACATTGTTATGGTAATTATAGCTTATAACTCGCTATATCACTGCTTGTTTTAGTATTTCGCGTTCGGGTAACCAATTTGCCAGTATCGCCTCGCTGCTGGCACCGCTGGCTTTTCCTCGACTTGCCGATCTCCTACCGGAGGTGATTGGATAAAAGTTTTCGGCTCTTTAGGATTTTCGGTGGAACCTTTTTCCCCCGATTACTGCAGATATGCTATGCCTAACTTCATTGCAAGTTTTGGAAAAGGCTCTATATTATATTTTGTCTATTTTAAAGAAAAAATATAAAACTTAGAAAAGCCTTTGAAGTTTTCGTTTTTTGGTCAAAAGAGCATCGTTTTTGCACAAAATTCGCAAGTTTTTGTCCGTACGGGATTGCAAAAAGTTTAGAAACACTTGTTTTATCCCTATTAGAAAAATTGGTACCTGCGGGAAAAGTTTGAAGTACTCAGAGACCCGAAATTTTTCTAAATTTTGGCTTTAGGTTCGCGATGCGGCCGCCGAGGCTTTCCGAAATTTTGTGCCTATGTTAACGTTGGCCAAGGTACGTTCCCTGTAAATTGATCTATCGTTTATCCACTTTTTAGGAACCGCTCTCAAATCTGGGCCCAGAGCTCCTCACCATCGCCCAGGACAACGCCTCCTTCATCCATGTGCTCTCCCAACCATCCCTTCTCCCCACCGTCACCCAAAATGAAATCACCGAGCTGAGCGGTGATGTCGAGCTGCGTCACTACCAATTGGAGGGCATCACCTGGCTGCGCTTCTTACGTCGCTTCGGCCTCAACGGAATCCTGGCCGACGATATGGGCCTTGGCAAAACTCTGCAAACCCTCGCCACCATCGCCCTCTCAATCACCAAAGGCACCAAGAATCGCCCGTCGCTAATCGTTTGCCCGCGGACACTGATCGACCATTGGCTCAAAGAATGGAATCGATGGTTCCCGGGGTTGGGGAAAGCCATCAAGGGAGAACAGGCTTCATCGAGTCGCATTAACAGTTCCCTGCTCGTTGTCACCGCCTACGAGGATTTGAAATCAACGCGCACCTTTGCCAGCCAGGCATGTCAACTTTTAACGTTATAGCGAAGTTGCGATACGCAGAAATACATTCACCGAAATACAGTACCCCCAAATTTCAGTGCACTAGTTGTTTTCGTAAGATTTGGTCGAAAATCGGGCCTTTTTTATATTTTTTTCATTAGCACTTTGAAGTTTGTACGTTTATGAATAGTGAAAACAGGTTAGAAAACATTTCCGCAATTTATCTTGGAAAAATTCAATCCGAGAAAAACGTTATCCCCCCCCCCCCGATTTTGCGAAAGAACCGTTTTATACGTGATGGAATTTCGGCGTAGGCGTGATGAATTTTCGATATAACGTTAGCAAATCTAGGCATGGAACTACGCCATCCTCGACGAAGGGCACGTGCTGCGGAACACGAAGACGGCCATCTGGCGCGCGGCAAACGAGCTGACCGCCGAGAGCCGGTTGATCCTCTCCGGCACGCCCGTCCAGAACAGCGCTGCCGATTTGTGGGCCCTGTTCGCGTGGTTGATGCCTGGATATCTGGGGGATGAGAAGCAGTTCCGCACCAACTTCTTGCGCGCCATCCTGAAATGCCGCTCGCCGAAAGCCGGCGAAAAGGAGATGCAAGCAGGTACCGGTTCTGGTCCGTTAACGGGGGGAGTATTTTCGCAAGTTGAAAAATCCTAAGCTATTTTATTCAGTCTAGACTCAATAACAACGAAAACACTAATTTCTGATTAGCAAATTGTTAGAAAAGCATTTAAATACTTAAGACTTTTGACCTAATTGAGCTCAAAAAGTCCAAATTGTTCTGTCGAATTTATCAGTTTTCTGAACCTTGTCCATGGAAAACAAAGCCCTTTTATATCTATACCTCCACCCCCGCTAACGCACCAGCACTCAGGTACCGACGCCCTCGCACGCCTGCACCGGCTCGCCCTGCCCTTTGTGTTGCGGCGGATGAAGCAGGATGTGCTGCCGGAGTTGCCCGAGAAGGTCACAATAGCTGGGGTTCGGAACAATTTTCCTTTTTAGATTGTGCAAGATTACGAATGTGAATTGACTGAAGCGCAGCGTACCCTGTACAAATTGATCGCCGACCGGTCGGATTTTTTTCCGCATTTTGCATCTTTACGATCTTTCCAGGTGCACGATGGACAGCGAACGGCTCAATCGAAAACAAGGGCTCACACCGCTGCACACGCTGCTCTCCCTTCGCAAAGTCCTCGATCATCCAAGGTATCGCAAGCTTAAATGTAAATTCTTGAAAATTCAGCTTGATCGCCGACATCATTCCCCGACTCGAAGCGGATACGGCAACGGCTCGTCTCGCCGAGGAAGAAGGCAGCGGCAAGATGGCGGCGTTGGGCGAGCTGCTGACGCAGTGTGGAATCGGCGTGTCGACACCGAGCACCGAGGGCGATGATGAGGTCGAAGGTGGCGTTTCCATCTCATAAATCGGCTTTTCGCAAAATCGATGGTATAGATAGAGGAAATGTTTGCATAATGTCTTACGTATAATGAAATGTATTTTACCAGTTCTAAACAACAAAACCTTGCAAATTTTACTGATAAATGAAAAATATGGATTTTTCAATCGAGACTTAAGCCTTTCCAATTTTCTATAGGTTTGTTATAGTTTTGCTGCTTCAAACCCAGATAATTTTTCAAAAAAAAAAAACGCTACTTGAAAATCTGATATATTCTAATGGATTCTAGATCTACGCGTCCCCCAATTGCCCCACCGCGCCCTTATTTTCTGTCAATGGGTATCGTCGGTGAAGCTCGTGGCTGATGCGCTGTCGCGGGGAACGATCACTGAGCAGCCGGTGGCGCACATGATCTTAGGTAATTATTTTATCGCTCTTTTGACACACCAATTCATTTAGACGGCACTGTGCCTGCGAATGAACGACAGTCCGTTGTCGAGCGCTTCAACTCGGACCACTCGATCGATGTGTTGGTCCTCACCACACATGTGAGTTCCATCGGGTCATCGTAAATATGAGTATTTCCCTGTTTAGATCGGCGGGATTGGTCTGAATTTGACTGGCGCTGATGTCGTCATCTTTCTCGATCATGATTGGAACCCAATGAAAGACTTGCAAGCAATCGATAGGTACGATTATTCTTCTGCCACCTAGAATTTTCGATTTAGGGCGCATCGGTTGGGTCAGAAACGGCAAGTGATGGTGTACCGCCTGATTACCAAGGGCACAATTGAGCAAAAGGTCCTCTCCTATCAACACTTCAAGCGGCACACCGCACAGGTCCGGCACCGCCCGTAATTTGTTTTTAATCAGTTAATTTCAGAGTATCATTGGCTCTGATAATCAAACACTGCAGTCGATGGCAACGGATGAACTGATGACCCTGTTTGCGCTAGGGGACGGAGACTCAGCCGCGAAGAAGTTTGAAAAGCCACCCGACCGAAAGAAGGCGCGAATAGAAAAGGTGAGGCGGCTTGCCGCAAAAGCAATTTTGAAATTTTTTAGATGACCGGAATGGTGGACGACACCAAATGGACGCTGTCAGAAATGTGGGACGAAAGCCAGTACCTCGAAACCAGTGATGTACAAGCATTCGCCCGCGCCACTCGATCAGAAGGGACCTGACCCAATCCTCCGCAATGTCTACCCGATCCTTTCGCTTGTGATTCTTCATATTTGATGATCATGCCATTTATATTAAAGTCAAAAGCTGAACCCGCATATGTAATCACAAGATGGAAACGTAAACAAAATTGAATGGACAAGCGCACAAATTTACAAAACGAGAGGGGGGTTGGTTTGGTTTAAGGATGGTGACGGTGTATTTACTTGCTGGATGCGGCTTCGGCTTCTTGTCGAATGACCTTGTGCCACTTCTGCGCATTATCTAACAACAAAAAAATTGCTGCCAGCAAGAAACCTTACCGAGCATGTTCCGGCGGTCGGCCAATTCTTGTTCGAGTTGCCCAATCAAGCTCTTGCATGTTGCTTCCACGTCGTAGTCCGGATCTTCGACGGCGTGCATCAACTTGTTGAGGGCTTTGGCTTCGTCTTTATGGTTCTAAAGCAGGTTCCAACGCAATGAAATAAAAGCTAACCTCGCGCGCTGTTTGCATGTCGTTGATGCACTTCTCCTCGCATTGCACCATGGCTGCGAGGATTTTCTCCATGACGATCGAGTTGTTGTTCTTTCCGGTCTTGAACTGCATTCGTAATACTTCTTCGACGACCGCCTCCGGATTCGCCGTCATAAAGTCTTCGTCTTGCATTGGGGACAAGTTCTCCCCGTCCTCGCAACCCAATTCTTTCACGCGGTCTGCATATCGTAGCGTGTTCAGCGTGTGTTCGCATGATCCCATGGTTGGGCTGATCATGGCAATCTAAACAATATGAAAATTGTATGAAAAGTTTGATACCATGCACGTTCGTGATTTGTCGCCGACGAACGAATCCCGAAGCACCATCGTGAGCTTCGATTGGCGGAAGGGCACGTGGGAAGAGTTGCGCCCCATTGCACGAATACATTCCTTGAGCGCCAGCAAGCTCTTGTTGATTTCCGCGCCTTCCATTCGCGTCTGGCGATCCGACGTTCCGGTGTCCTGCCCTCGTTCGTTGCCCGCCAGGTCGATCAGGGAGAATTTCCCCCAGACTTTTCCGGCCCTAGGAAATGATGAATATGAATACCGAAACCAATTACCTCCGCAGAATAATCTGGAAGATGGCGTGCGATCGGCTGGAATTGGTGTTGGCTGAAGTGGCGCCGGCTGTGCGCATATCAGAGCCTCGCTTGATGAGGTCCAAAACTTGTTGGTCAGAGGTAACGCTTTCTTCTTTCAACCCGACTACTTGAACCTCCTTCTTCCCATCCTCCAGGACCCGTAGCAGGTTCTTGTTCTTCAGCAAGTCGAATACCTAAAGCAAAATATGCTATAGGTATAGATGCTTACCTTGCCGCCGTATATCTCGAAGAACGAGCAGCCAACTTCTAGGCCCAGCGAACGGAATTCACCCCTCTGTAGACGAAAGACGTCGTTAGCAGCCAGGGAATAAATTCCCTTGGACCAGTCTTGTTGTTTGCCTGAGAAGTCGCCGCCCATCGTGTGAGTTTTTCCTGAGCCGGTCTGGCCATATGCAAAGCACGTCGAGAAGGATTGTTCGAAGATTGAACGGACGAGGGGCTGCGCGGTAAATCTAAACAACATGAAAAGCGCATAGGGCATTATTAACCTGTAAACCACTGGGTTATCCACGTTCTCGTCAAAAGCGTAGTCAAAACGAAACTTCTGGTTGTCGAGGTACTTGGTTAGGTCGACTTTGACTTGCGGCTGATGAACGATCACATGGTCCTGGTTCGGAATGGTGACGACCTAAACCTGGGTTTGAAAAAATTAAACAAAGCCCAACCTCGATATCTTTCTTCGTCAACTCCTTTGTGCTCATTGGGCGCTTCCGCACGCAGACTGAGATCCTGTTGTCGCTGACTGCATCTGTAGGGCGCAGGGGACGAAAGTCGATCTAAACAATAATAAACTCGAGACCAAGAAGCACTCACATTCGACTGATATTCCCGGATCATCCCAGCAAACTGGTAGTTCGGATTGCCGGGATCGAGAGCCTTCTCCTGGTCGCGTGTCTTGCGTACGATTTCTTGTTGGGCCCTCCGCTCCTCGCGTTCTTTCTTGATCTTTTCGACTTCACGTGCGGCAGCTTCGCTCTTGGACGGTTCCTTTCGCACCGTCTCGGGTTCGCGAGACGGCGTCTCTACCATGAAAGACTCGCGCTCCTTCTTAGATTCCCTGACAAGCGGCAGTGTCTTCGGGATCTCCTTCGGTTGCTTCAGCCCCTGCGCCATGGATGTACGAATTTGCTTTGGAGGAACTATAAAATTTACAATTAGCCATCCAAGAAAAGTCAAGGATACCTATTGACGGTTTGGGTACGGCGATCGTACGGCGTGTTGGTGGCTCGGTGGTCGGGGCCGTCTTTTTCGGCAACCATAAGAGATCGTCATCATCGACGACCAAGGCGGTCCTATCGAGGGCGGGTGGCGGCTTGTTCTGCGTCTCCTCGCTGTTGTTCTTCGGGACGAGCATCGGGTTGACGGCGTACAGCTCCTTGAGGAAGACTTCTTTGCCCTTCGTCTCGCCTTGTTCGTACCATTCCACCAAGACCGCGCCCTTTGCGGGGCGCGTCTCGGCGACAATGGCCGAATGGACCCGGCCATCGGAGCGCTTGATCTCGACGTGCATCCCGACCTGCACGCGCTCCATCCTGGAAAAATAAAAGTAGATACGGAAAACGTAAACGCCGGAGAACAGACAAGAAAGGGATTACTAGTAATAAATTCATGTATCTTCCCTGAAAGGGCCTGGCCAGGGCCCCAAGGGTGTTTCGCAATGCAAGGACGGCCTCCCGAAGTGGTCGCAAAAAGAGGGCGCACATCGAAATCCGATGAGGCGCGTGCACCCAAAAAGGAAAGGAGCGACAAGAAAAGCGCGGAATTTCATCATACAGGATGAGACGTACGATCAATTAATCAAAATAAACCTTCTATGGGCAGAGGGAGAGACAAGAGAGAAGATACTTTACAAACAGGTTGCGATAAATGCGAAAAAGCAAGGCACCAGAAGCAAAGCAGGGTCCCGCGACGATTCCGCGACGCTACACAGTTAGGTGCATTTTATCTTTCGTCCCAGGCAACGGGGTCATAGCTCGAGGACAGTTATTTGCGAGAATAAAAAATTGCTAGCTATTTTCCATTTGTATAACCTAAATAATTTTAATATCATAACAGCCGTATGTAGCACGCTTTCGCGCTCCTACAAATAAACCCTTCCGTCAATAAAGGACGGCAAAAAGGGCTTTTTCGGGTAAATAAGTTTTTCTTTGAAGAGTCATAATAAATTAAATGCAAGAGATCAACAATATAGGATTCTTTTTCCGTAAATACAAGGGGGCACGAGAGGGTTGTGAATTTTTGGCAAAATTATGACCCGAATTCAAACAAAACAAGGTCGATTGGGCGAGGACGCGACGAATATGCAAGTGAGAGGGAGGAGCCGCCGGTCATTTTGGCGCGGGGGTTTGAGAAGCGCGTTTCAGGGCTAGCGAGCGGGGCCGAAAGAGGGAGAGAGCGGACAGACGATTGATTGTGGCGCGAACGGGGCGAGCCGAGAGAAGAAAAGAAGACGAGGCGAGCGGGCCCCGGCCGGCCGCCCGGCTCACAAATGCGGATCCGGTCCCGGAAGCGACAAAATGAGGCTCGTTGTTTCGTACTGCAGAGTATTCGTTCAAAAATGTTCTGTTTTTAAAACAATTTATTCAAGGGCATGTTTAACACAGTGCTGCTGGAGCCATGAGCGTCGTATGTCCCTCGTGATCCCCGTAGATGACTGAAAAAAGGGGGTTAGCGTAATTTGAGCAAGATTCCGGAGCGAAGGTTAGAAAAAAAAGGATCAGTTACCTACCACTTAAATTTTTCGTGCAGAATTTTTTGATGAACAATTGAAGAGTTCTAAAAAACGTGCCTAATCAAGGGTAATAACAAAAGGGAACCTACAAGCAGCACAGCCTTCCCAGACATTCTCAAGATTCTCCGTGGTGCACCGGCTTCCCCTGATGATGTGGTTCCTATGGGAGCGAGAATCAACAATAGGTACCGGGCACCTAATGAGCCGTTCGAAGCCCGCCATTTTTGCCCCCCGTTTGCCACGGCTGGTAGGAGAGGCGGGGAAAATTGCCTGGGGCTAGGACCCGGGTCCCAGGTACTGGGTAAATGGGCTAGTGTTTTGCCCGCTGACGTGGGAAGTATTTTTCGAGCGTGCGAGATCGATTTTGACTGCCCAAATGCGACTTGAAAGGCGTTTGCTATCAGAATACCGAAATTCAGGTACTGGACTGTTAGGAAGGGGAGACGAATTTTTCTTAGTCATCCTGTAAGGTCCTATAACAAAATATAAGCCGTTTTTTTCGCTTTTGGCACAGTTTTTAGATATAAAAAAGTAAAAAACTCTAAAACGATAAAAAATGTCGGAATTCCGGCACGTAAGTTACCATAAAAAATCTTGCGTGATCGCCAATGCCACACCAAAATTTCGACATTTTGAAACTTAAATTTCAAACAGCCCTTGAAAGTACCTGATGACCCTTCTCCTGCTTCCATTTGATGTTCACCTTCTCGGGGCACTTCACCGGGTTGACGTTGGCGTTGATCTAGGGAAACATCTCCAAAAATCAGCTCCAGCCAACCGCCTCAAATTCAGTCTGATCCATCGTGTCCAAGTCACGCATCAGCTTGTGGGCGGCGGCATTCGGTTGAACCTATGCGAACACGAGTGAAATGTTAGTGGTCGTGATACCGTGACGCCGCCATGGGCCTCGGTCTGGGCCATTAGGTTCTAAAAGCGGCAGTGGATAGATGCAGAAGAAATTTGTTCTTACCGCCACCGTCGGTTGAGCCAATTTGGTCATGGCGGCGACATTTTCCTTTTTGTCTTTCGAACCACGTCCGCTGGCGCCCTTCTTCTTCTAAACCAGTGGCGGTGTGTTGCCCTCGACGCGTTGTCGTTCATTACCTTATTCTTCATCGACCCTTCGAACTGAAACGTATAGAAATGATTTGCAAACATCGGGAGCCGCCACCTCATCGGCCTTGATCGGGGTAATCTTCGTCTGCCCGTCTTCGTCATCGCTCTATGCGCATTTGTGTAATGTGAGCTCGATCCTACCCTCTTTCGCTCTTTCTAAAAAAACCAAAGTCATCATTGCGCTAAATCGCAATACCCTTGCAGTTGCCACATGGCGTGGCTCAATCTTCTTCTTTACGCGCTTGCCGCTGCCGCTGGTGTCCTAAATTACATTAGCTAGACTCGGAGAGCTCGACACCTTGCTATCTCCAGGATCGTCTGTCTTTTTGTCATCGGCGTCCTTCTATACCTAAAGATAGCAGAGGGGGCCAGGGTGGGGGCCCAGCTCAAGGGCCCGTAAACCCACGACACGACCGCCTTTGTCCTTGCCGGAACGACGGCCCGATCTCTAAAAGGGTTTCCCCATTGGTATGCACATGGGATGTCTGGCTGGCACCAAATGGAAGACCTCGTTGGAAAACCTGCCTTTGTAGTCCCTTCCCCGCTGTCCTTCTGAAAAAAAGAATGAAAATAAGAAAACGTAACCAGAACCGACCGAAGGCATTGGGATGAATTTACAAAATGGTTGGTAAAATAGAAATTTTCTGATCCTGGCGACCCTCATATGGTAATCCAAATATTCATTGTTTGTCTTAGAAAGTACCGCAGTGACTAAAACAATATTTATTAACCATTAACGCAACATTATCAAAATGGCAATTTTTAAAATCCAGCAGCTTACTGCGCAACAATTAATTATCAGGGGAAACAACATTTGTCGAGTTTGTCGAATGAGAAGACTTCTTGCGACGAAGCGTGGGGCGAAGGCTGCGCCGGAACTTCGAGAAACGTTCCCTCAGGCCACCGGGTTCGGTCGCGGCCAGGTCCTGATCCTTGAGCCTGACGATTCCCTTCTCAAGTTGTTTCGCATCACCCAGCGGAAGTTTCAGTTCCTTCCTAAAAATATGTTTTGAAGCTAGATAGAACCCGGAACCTGAGCTCATCAAAAGTGAGGCCAGCGAGCACGGCGCCCGAGATGCGCTCCCTGATGAGGATGGAGACAACGAGGTCGTTCTCGGTCTCGCCGCGCGCCCATGCAGCTACATCGAGGTTCTAAAAATCAATTATACTAATGTTACTCTAACTAACCGTCCACAACTCGAGCGGCAAACCGATGGGTGGACTGTCGGGCAAGTGTTCCATCAGCGCGCAATTCAAGCTGTCCTATAAACAAATTCACCGCCAAAATCAAAAAAATTTACATCGGATCTGGCTGAAGACACTCGGTCCAGCTCCACAACGATCGCTTCCTGCTCACGCAGCTTTCTCTTCTTTAGGTCCAGCGCGCGCAGACGTTCTTCGATTAATCCGTGTTGTTCCAAAATCAGTTGATTCAATTTCTCCTGCTGGCTGGTATGTTGACGCTGCATTTCGGAGAGCCTACATAAAAATCAGTAAAATTGAGACCACCGGAAACTGACATATTGCGTTCTCCCTCGGCGCGAGCCCTCTGCTCTTGCATCCAACGACGCTCGTGCTCAAGCACCTGCCGCTCTTCACGCAGCATCCTGTAATCCTCGGCGATCATCTGCCGTTCCTGACGGATCCTGCGACGTTCGGTTTTGAGACGACTAAAAAGGAATGAGGAAGATCGAGTAAATTACCTGTTCTCCCGCTTGACTTCGACGATTTCGCGGCCACTTTCATTGCCGAATTCAGCGTAATCGTAGTCGTTGCCCTTCGCGTGATTTTGCTAAGCAATTGTAAGCGCAAGCGAAAATCGACATACCAGATGCGAAGCCTCTGAGCTAGAGGCGGTGTTTGTGCTGTGCCTTGAGCTGCAGCGGGATGGTGGGTCGAATTCCGTCAGAAAATCTGGAAACGCGTGAACAATAAAAAAAAACACTCACCAGTGACAAAATTTTGTTGCTGCGACTTGACGCGTCCGGTCACCAGACTTGATACCTTGCACCGGGTGCATTTGTATTCATAGACGAAGAACGGGTATTCCTTTTTCTGTCTAAATCAAGGTTGGAAAATTTCACGTGCACTCACCGCTGGTACTTTCTTTTCGAGAGGCAATCTCCGCAAGCCGCGTGACCACAGTCCAAAATAAAAGGGCGCGAGGGACCGAGCGAGTCGCCATCATCTAAAAAACATATAAATAAAAATTGTTATGGAAACGTTACATGTATTTTGGCAGTCGGGGCACGCAAGTGAGGCGAGATCGGTGGGTGTGGGCTAAAATAAAACGGTAAAAGTGCTACACGACATAAGATCTACCTTCCGCAGGTGCGACGTAGAGATCGTGAACTCTGTCATGTCGGCGAGAAGGTCTGAAAAGAATTGTGAACGAGAAAATCGAAAGCAGGGATCGTTCGTAGCTTGGTAGCGCGACGTATACTAGCATGGAGTATTTTTTATGACTGAAGCTTTAGAGCTTCGTTTCGCTAGAGCTTTTATTGTGAAAAAGTTCCATCTTCTTAGAAGTTTTGCCAAGTGGGTGCAAAAATGTCCAAAATCGCTCGTTTCAGAGAGAATTTTCTCGAGAACCAGAGTTTTGGAAAGGCTTTTCAGCTTGAAGAGGTACCTATCTAGCAGAGCAACACTGAAAATACAAATTTTCATACCTAGAACAATATCTGCAGGATGAACATTCAAACTGCACTCAGCCCAGTCGGCGCAAAGCGGCGTGTGCTTTTGCAGTTGGGCTTCTGCCGAGGCGGCTTGATTGTGCTCGCAGCAGAACGAGCAGATCGGGAAACCGCAGTTGAGCATCAGCGGGAAATTGGAGCTTTCCAGCTGTGTGGAGTCTAAAACAAAAAAGATTGGCCTATAGAAGAAGCTCTTACAAGTCGTGTGGCATCCAGGGCAGCTCAACGATTCGAAGGTGAACTCCATTAGGCCAGTGGGGGTCGGTGGTGTGAATGACATGGCGGATGGGGAGGGGCGCTGGAAAAGATGTATATATTTTTATCCCACCAGGCATCTGCCATGATTTACGGCACCCGAGGCGATAAGGCAAAACTGACACTGTGGAATTGGCTTACAACTAGCCTCAGGCAATGTTTAGGGTATCAGACACTGTTGAGCATTAATAGTAAAATGATGAGTTTTACCCTAATATAAGTTTATGCCATCTTTTTTTGCGATTCCCCAACGTAAAAACTTATAAAAAATTATTATAAAAAACTTAAAAAATTTTACCGAAGCAACGGATTTTGGCCATATTTAAAATCGCTTATAGGATAGGATTTTCAAGTATTTTTTGAAGTTTTCTAGATAGTTTTGTGGTCGAACTATAGCTAAATTTAGCTAAAAACTTTTGAAATAATTGCTATGAGGTGATGAAGCGTATCTGGATCGATAGGATTTCTATTCTAAACCTTTAATTGCGAATTACGATGTAGGAATTGCCATTGCCTTCAACTCTTAGATTTTCGTCGATTCAAACGTAAACCTCTTTAATTCTAGTTTACAGTTCCGTTTTTGTTGAATTTATATAAACCGTTTATCCATGCTCTCAGTGTCCAGAAAGGAATGACAAACAGTTGCAAGGATCACGTCTAACCGGGTGAAGCCTGAGAAATCCGGAAGGGTCAAAATTGAGGTTGAGCGTACAAAGTTAAATTAAACTATCTCTCTTCGGTCGGGGGCTTCCAGGAATAAATTATCGGGGGACCTATAGCCAATGCGCGGCAAATCACAGGCCAACGGGGATGGGTTCAGGAAATATTGTATATTTTGGCGGCAGGAGGATTTATGGTTCTTTAGGATTCCCGGGGGGAGAATTTTTGAGGGGGGAAATATTTTTTTTTTTTGTGTTGGGTGGGCAAAAAAAAAAATAAAAAGTGTTTTTTTTTTTTTTTTTTTTAATTAATAATAATTTTAAGAGAAGAATAAAAAAAAAGAAAAAAGAGTTTAATTGTTGGGAAAAAGGTTTTATTTTTTTTGTTTTTTTTTTAAATATTTTAATAATTTTTTAATTTTTTTTTTTATGTTTTGTTTTTTTTTATTTTAAAAAAAAAAAAAAAAAAAAAAAAAAAAAAAAAAAAATAATCCAAAAAAAAAAATATTAAAGAAAAAAAATATTAAATCTTTTAAAAAAAAATAAAAACAAAAGACCCAAAGAAGATTTATGTTTATTTTTGGGTTACGGCAGTGGGGGGAACAACTTGCAATGTTCGGTTCAAAAGACAATAAATTAATTGTGGGCGCCAGAAGACGATCGGCGGCTCGTGAGGCGGATATTATTATTGCGATGAAAGTTACACGGGGCAGGAAATCAAGAAATGGGAATCGGGAAACGAGTGTGTTCTTTAATTTGATTAATTCAATCGGAAAATGGAACTTCAGGCGTTTTTTCGGTTGTTAAAACTGGTTAGCTAACAACGAGAGCGGTTTTGTGATTTGGGAACTCGGTTTGGAAAGGGCGGACCGTTGCGCGGCTCTCGGGATTGCGCGGGCCTGAAGGCGGCTCTCGACCAATGCGCGGCCCGCCTGCGGCCAATTGCGCGGGTCTGCTCTTTCAGCCGCGCAATCGGCCGCGGACGGAGCAAGCGCGGGCCGCGCATTTCGCCCAGAGTTCATGAAAGTACAAGAACTAAAACTTAGGAAATTCACTTCATTTTTATCTAACTTCGTATAGCGATTAGTTATAACGCTACTTGATGATTCTTAATCAATCTTCAATGATGAGCGTAACAACTTCTATGTGCTGCGAGGTTAGTTTCCAAATACATTACATGTCTACAACCTTTGGGGCTGAAAAGAACGATAAAAGTGAGTTTTTCTTGTGGTAAATGTACTTTTGTTTTAGTTTTTGGAAATAGAAACGATCACAAGCGGCCGCGGCGCCATTTCCGCGACGATCTACCTTGGCCGCAGCACGATGCGCATTTCTGGTTAGTTTTTTAAGCTATTTTTGCTTCAGTAAGATGGGTTTTCTGGAAACGCTACCGCGTTTAGGATTGATGATCCTGGGCAAGGGCGAGCTGCAAATTTCGACCGCCTGGCGCTGGTCGGTGACACAGCAAAAACGCGGTAAGCTGTTTGAAATTATCGAGTTTCTTTGTGAATTTAGGAAAGAGCGATGTTTCTATGGCCCGGGCGTGCGATGGATCGACAGGATATTGGCGCGAGAAACAGGTACGTCAATATAAATTGTTGGGGGCTTTTGCATTATCAGGAGGTCGTTCGTCTGAGTGTAAGTTCTGTCAAGATCTTTTTCGACGAATCATCAATAAGAAAATATGCTTTTCAGGGGTTCTAGTTTTCAAATCCGTCACGACGAAATCAGGTCTAAAATTCAGTCTATAAACCGACAAAGATATATCCTGCCTTGGTATCTAATAATTAGCAAATTTATAATTAATTAAAATATAATTTAAACCAGACCAAACCCAAGCTAATTAGGGAAGATGCCTGTAAGCGATTTTCAGGACATCTTCACCGGGCAACTCTACTCGCAGGATGAAATACCCATATTTCTTCTATGTTCTGTTTTGATTTTCTAATGCAGTGTCGCGATATAAATACAATAGACTCATCACACTTCCTTGCATCGGTCCCGAGCAATAGAACCTGCTAAAAAGCAGGTTTAATATGGAATTTAAACGTTTTAAAGAGGGAAAAGCTAGCTACGGCCCGTTTGCCGCGAGAGCCGCCCTCAGGCCCGCGCAATCCGGAGAGCCGCGCAACGGTCCGCCCTTTCCAGATTGCGCGGGCCTGGGGGCAGGCACATCTCCAGGCCCGCCCTTTCCCCCCGCGCAACGGTCCGCCCTTTCCAAACCGAGAATTTCAAAATGCGACCAGGCGATCTTGTGCAGAATTTTTCGCTGATGAAAACGTTATTTGTAGAATCTGCGAAGTTTCCTTCGTTCCAGATTAAAGCAGTTATACTTTAAGGTATGAAAATTTGCAAAATAGCCCACGACGGCCTATTCAGAGAATTCTCGCACGTTAAAGTTTCATAACTTTTTTAATTTGGTGGTTTCTCCAGTTCTATCAGGTACGTTTTCCTCAGCGAAAAATTCTAGATCCCAGATACATTCTTTTTAAACAAAAAAAAAAAGGCTCATTGAAGCTTGAACCCACTCGTTTCCGGATTCCGGACTAAACACAAAATGAACTGATTATTACTATCGAATGCTGGGCACATTCTGGACCCCAGTTGTAGAATTCGGGGGCCCAGGGCCTTGCAGGGAGGAAACACCGGCAGTTCCACTGCTCGCCGCCGTATTCCGTAATAAATTCGCGTCCGAGGAGTACGTTTTGCACTGTGGGCACATCCACGTTACCCCAGAACAAGTGCTGTGGGCTTTGCATCTGTAAGGTATAGTTCTTTTAGTAGGTATTTTAAGGTGTATTAGCAGTTATAGGTCTTCTAGATACCGGAAGCATTGATGTGGCTGCATGCCCGGTTTGTCCAGCAACACCGATAGTCGATCCATCATGGCCGCACGCGCTCGGGTGGATAGACAATCGTCTGTAACGGTTTAGCGTTTTTGCGATGTTTCGTAGTTTTCACGGGTATTTTCCGGCGTTTTCACAAAATCGGGGCAGAGCTCATTTTTCTCACTATGAGCCCAAATATACCTAGTGTTTTAGTAAATTGTGACTACATTTTGAGCGTAAAAGTGTCTAAAAAACCTAAAAAATGTGAAATTACGGTCGATAATGAGCCGTTGTTGGTCGACCATTAAATATTTTGGTATTTTTTATACAAATTTTTATAGTTTTGACACTACAAATTACAAATTGCCTACAAATTAATTCTTGACAAAGTAAAAACCGTTCAGAAGCAGTTGTTTTACATATAATTTATAGCTTTTTATGTAATTTTCTAGGAGAAGGCATTCTTTTGCATTTTGGTAACCCAAGCTTCTACTTACACGTGCTCTGCTGCGTCATCTGGATCAAGTGCTCGGGCCGTTGGACCATCGACAAGCATGCGGGGATCATCTCGTGGAGGAAGCAACGGTCGAGCAGCGACAGCCTCACGAACACCGACAGCTGAACGGCTTGAACTTGTGGGTATTGCTTTACTGCGAACCTGGATCTGCGGTTGTAGCAGGATGTGGGCACATTTCCGCAACAATGCCGGGGATTCCATCCGGCAACCGGCCATCAGGATCGGGCCGATGTTTTGTTCTGAAAGGGCCCGGTTTTGGCGTGTGTTTTTTTTGATGCAATCTTAAGACGATCGTTAGAACTTAAAAATAAGGCCGAGAACAGGATAGGAGTTATACGGTAATTATAAATGAAAAATGGCGGTTCTTTTGCCTTATCGGGGGGGGGGAGAAAACGTCTTTTTAGGAATTAATTGTCTAAATATAAATAGCGGAATGTTTCTAAACTGTTCTTGCCTAAACTAAACTAAACTATGCTTAAACGCACAAACTTTACAAAATTTCATTAAAAAATACAAAAATATCGATTTTTCGACCAAAAAATGACCGTAATTTGACCAACATGTCGACTTTTTGTAAAATTTTTCAAAGTTTATAGTTAGTTTTTCTAGGTAAAGTATGGTTTTATTTTACTAAAAACGTTACGAACATGCTTTCTATTCAGTTACTCAGCATTTCTAGATTTATATTAAAAAAAATTCGTATATTTGTTTGTATTAAAAAATAATAAAAATAAAACAAACCATTAATGCGCAGCTGCGGCGGGTGGATGGCCATCAAAAACGCCTTGAGCTCCTCGTGTGAACACGGGCAGAACATTTCTTCGGTGTTGGAGGGCCCGTGGAAGATTCGCTCCTATAATTACGCCAAAAATTCGTTAAATGTGTCTATTATAATTAATTTTAATGCAATTAGTCACCTGAAAAACATTCGACCAGGCCGCCACGTAATACGGGTTCACGTAGTAAACGCGTCCAGTTTTTGCCTTAATGGCGGCAAAGTGGAGATCGGTGGCTCGTTGGTACGTCTCGAGGTCCAATGGTGGTTCCGGGATCTCCTAAATAACAAAAACATAAAAAATGGTTTTTTTTTGTACAAATAATTTCGGTTCTTTGGCATTATCGGGGGGGGGGCAGAGCTAATTTATTCCTATGATTCCAGAAATTCCTGATTACGTAAACAGTAAGTGGGTGTAATCGTGTTTTTAGGAATATTTGAAGCAAAAATTTTCTAAAAAATCCACAAAAATTTTAGAATTTTGGTATTTTTATGCATTTTCGAAAAAATCGGCCTTTTTGGCTGCGAAAACTTTGAATATTTCATCTTTTTATATTGTAAAAATCGTATCCTAAAGAAACACATGCCCCCCCCCCGATATTGCCAAAGCACCATAGACTGGAAATAGCTCACCTCGGGAGCGGGGGCGCCATGCAATCGCTCGAGCAACAGCACTTTCACCCGATCGCTCAGCGCATAGTACCTAAAATCGGGAAATATAATTTAAAAAAGTAAGTAAGGAAGTAAACACGTTATTTTGCAAAAATTTGGCGTTTTTAAACTAAATTAAACTCAAAAAGCTACCTGGTCCCGGAGAGATCGATCTTGCTGTTCGGCCGCATTTCGCGGAGGCAGAGAACGAGCAGTCGATTCAATTTGTACCGATCCGCAATCCAGACCTGGGAAAAAAAGGAGTTGGCCGGTTTTATACATAGACACCAACCTTTTCCAAGAAGGGCAGATTGTGGTTGATGAGGAAACATTCGCAACGGTGGAGCAGGCCTTCCATCTAAATCAGTGGTCTTTAGCTTGTCTCAGGCTTGACTTGGCTTAGGCTTGGCTTAGGCTTGGCTTAGGCTTGGCTTAGGCTTGGCTTAGGCTTGGCTTAGGCTTGGCTTAGGCTTGGCTTAGGCTTGGCTTAGGCGCAGCTTAGGCTTGGCTTAGGCTTGGCTTAGGCTTGGCTTAGGCTTGGCTTAGGCTTGGCTTAGGCTTGGCTTAGGCTTGGCTTGGGCTTGGCTTAGGCTTGGCCTAGACTTGGCTTAGGCTTGGCTTAGGCTTGGCTTAGGCTTGGCTTAGGCTTGGCTTAGGCTTGGCTTAGGCTTGGCTTAGGCTTGGCTTAGGCTTGGCTAGGCTTGGCTTAGGCTTGGCTGAGGGCTTGGCTTGGCTAGGCTTGGGCTTAGGCTTGGCTTAGGCTTGGCTTAGGCTTGGCTTAGGCTTGGCTTAGGCTTGGCTTAGGCTTGGCTTAGGCTTGGCTTAGGCTTGGCCTAGGCTTGGCTTAGGCTTGGCTTAGGCTTGGCTTAGGCTTGGTTTAGGCTTGGCTTAGGCTTAGCTCGGCTCAACTTAGGCTTGGGTTAGGCTTGGCTTGGGCTTGGCTGAGGCTTGGCTTAGCGAAGGCTTAGCTTTGGTTATGCGTATGCTTAGGCTCCAGCTCACCTGATAATCATACGCCAACGGGAGCAGAATGTGCACAGATTGATCGTCGATGGCTTTGTAGGTGGGATGGATGCATTCGAGCATCTCCATAATGTGATCCTACACGATAGGGAAGCGTTTCTAGTAACGTAATGTACTTACATATTGGACGTTGGCTAGGATCAGCTCGCGATCCGGGCACTCGATGCACCACGCTCTGAAAAAAAACGAGTATTCCTGCTTCGGGAAACTCTAAAAAGCTTTGTTTTTCGATATTTCGCGCTTCGCCAAAGTCCATATAATTTTTTTCGGGTTCTTTGGAAACAAATTTTTAATTAAAAAATACAAAATACCGATTCAAAGTTCAAGAATTCGACCAAAATTTAAATTTAATTTTTTTTAATGTTTTTGAGATAGATTTATACTCCAAGTCTAGTAAAATTTGATTAAAACCACTATTAAACTACTTCCTTTTACGGTAATAGGTTATTTTGGACATACAAAAAAAATGGGTTCTCTCCGGTAGCCCCCCCGATAATGCCAAAGCACCGTTTTTCATTTTATCCAAGCTTCTACAGCCTTTCTTTGACGTATTCGCTCCTTTTTTTGACAAAAACATCCCAATTTGCCCAGTTTTTCCCCCTAGGCAAAAAAGCTTCGAGCTCCGAAAATTAGCCGGGGCCGCAGTCAGGGGCGTAGCCAGAAAAAAATTTCGGGGGGGGCCCCCAAAAAATTTTTGCAAAAATCTCAAAACATTGCCGAAAAACAGCGCCGCAGGCAAAAAATTTTTGAAAAAAAGGTTGCATAGCTCTACAAATAGCCGTAAAAACGTGAAAAAATAGCGCCGCAGGCAGCAAAATTTTTGAGAAAATAAAAATCATAAGGGTCCCCCCTTATGAAATTTTCGGGCCCCGGCCGATTTCGGGGGGGGCCCCGGGCCCCCGGGGCCGGTATTACGCTACGTCCCTGGCCGCAGTTTTCATTGCTCGGCCGCCATCCAAATTGGTGTGTGTGCTCTCCTTCTCCACCTCCTCCTCTTCCTCCTCCCCCTCCTCCTCATCCTCCTCCTCCTACTCCTACTCCTCCTCCTCCTCCCCTGGTTGGTCGGTGGAATGAGGTCGGGCCCCCAAGGCAGCAGGCTCCCTCGCTCAATTTTCCCATCAGCCCCCCCAAATTGGAGTCCGAGGCGGCCCTAGGGCCCGGGGGTCGGCACTCGGTATGCAGCTCGCACTCAATTAGTTGTGAAATGGGGTTGGTGAGAAATAGGTTAAATGGGGATTTTTTTTTTGAGGAGGATCTCGATTCAAAATTGCAAGCTGTAAAACCTGAGCCTCAGGAAATTGAGCATCAGCGTATGAAACAATGGATTTGTTTTTTGAGCATGAGTTCTGGATTTTTAAAGAGACTCTTAAGGTATGCGTAAATTTCGAACTTTAAGATGTCAGAAAAAATGCAAAAATCCATGATTGTGGGCAGGCTAGCGGGGATTCTTGAGGAATTCAACAGAGTGAGCTAGCAGAAATTGTGTAAGAAACCTTTGCATTTTCTAGGAATTACAGTGTACCCCAGGAATTTTTTATGGACCTCAAATAGCCAGCAAAGATCCTTTAAAAATTCTGCATGGCATTCTAGCAAAGATTCTTGAGGAATCCCGGCCGGCAATCTGGGAAGGATTCCTGGAAGTTGGATCCGGCAAAGCAAGGCTTACTGAGGAACCCGCTAGCGGAAATTAGCCGAGATTCTTTAGGAATCCCGGCCGGTAATCCTGCAAAGTTTCCTGAAAACAAACCTTAGCACGGGTGACCACTCGGAGATGTAGTGCTCATCGACGTAAAGCCGTTTCCCCTCGACCAATAATGGTCGAGTCCGGGGCCCATCCGGTCGAGTGAAGTCGATCGAGATATCGATCGATGGAGCTTGTGCTGAAAAATCGGGACATAACATAGAACTACACTACAACACTATAGAAATTTTTCCGTTTGCTTTTCTGTCTATCTGAGGCTGAATTCAGATGAAAAGGAGCTCGAGCTCAGGTTCACGTTCACGCTTGCACCTGTTGAGTGCGAACTCAAACGGGGACGAAAAATGACGGTTAGAGGGTAAAAACATATATTTTTGCAACTTGGTGGAAAAGTCCTTGATTGAAAAATTGCTGATGGTGAGCCAGGTGGCGCGCGAGTGGGAAATTTTTTGCTATTTGCATTTTTTTGGTGTTATTTTTGTGGGTAGAACGAATAACGATCGATTTTTCGAGTTATGCCCGATCAGAAAAAAAGCATACCTGGATGCAGAGGTACTTCAGGCGGGCGTCCGGAGACGGCCCCGGCCGGGGGCAGTCCGTTTTCTCGGAGCGAGGACAATATTTTGCGGAATCTCGGCGGATGGTTAACGACCTGGAAAATGGCGAAAGTTCCTTAGTTTCCAAGTAGTTTGCGTATTTGAAAACGATAAATTAGGAGAGAACGGCAAAACGAGCAAAGCAAATATTTATGATTTTGGAAAATTTTCGATTCAGTTTCATGAATAGTTCGAGGGCAAACGAGCAGAAAATGCACAGGAATTCGGGAAATCTGTAAAGACCTCTGCAAAGCGTTATAATTCTTCGATAGATAAATTAAGGGGGAACGTGAAAGAGAATATCCAAAGCAAGAAAAGCTGGTCAGCAAAAAGGTCATATTTTGGTAACTTTGCGATGGAGTTTGATCAAGAATCCGGGGCAAACAAGCAGGGACCATTTAGAATTTGAAGAAAAGACCTAAAAACGCCGGAAAAAACGACGAAAAATTAATCAAACTAATATTAACCGAAAAAGCCGATGCTAGTTTTTCTGACTCCGATAAAACACCAACTTGAAATGACTGCCAAGATTTTACGTAAATTCAACGACTTTTTGGAAATTTACTAACCCCATCCTGCACATTATTTCACGCCTCCACTAGTCGCTTCCAAAAAAGCAGCTTCTGACGCAAGTTCCGGCCGAATTGGGGGCTTTTCCATGCTTTTTCAGGCTTCTCCAAGCCATTCGGGGTCTTCTTTCAATCGCCATCTATTCCGGTCTCAAGCACAAATTCCCACGAAATAGCCTGGGGGGGGGATTGGATTGGGGCAGAAAAAGGGGTTGTGTGGATGTGTGCTTCTGACCATCCATAAATTATTCCGGGCAGCCCTTCCGGATGCCGTCCGGTTAATCATGCGTGACGCGCCGAGGTATGGAGAGCGTACGGTGGATGGTTACGGACTAGAATTTAGGAAATTAGCATAAAAAGGGCGATTTGTCGAATGGATCATTCAGATGGAGAGCTTAGTTTTTTTTAACATTCGTTAAAATCTTTCATTTTACGGTTTCAGCTAGTTTTAAAATTATCAAAACGTACCAAAAATGGATGCTCCAGGTTTTTTACTTAAATTCAAGAGAAAGCCGGGGATTTTCTCGGAATTTCAGCCATAATCTCGACAGCATAATCCCGACAACCAAAATACCGACAGGTCGAATCCCGACAGCCAGAATACAGTAGGTGAAAATCCCGACAAGTGAAATTTCGACAAGCGAAAATCTCGACATCCATAATCGCGACTGGCCAGAATACCGACACGACCAAAATCTCGATAACCATAATCCCGACAAAATCCCGACAGATCATCTTTACAGCTTCCTTTTAAACAGCACTTTATGTCGGGATCTCAGCTGTCGGGATTTTCGTTGTCGGGGTTTTAGCTGTCGTGATTTCAGTATTTTCCGGTGTATAAGGAATACCCGAAAAGGGCCCTAAAAGGGCTCGGGCTTAGCGTAGGATAGGCTTAAGCACACAACGATAATTATGCAAATCGACATCCAATCAAATATTTCTCATTCGGCAAGGGCCAACTTTGGTCCAAACTTTGGCCCCACGGCCAGACAAAAATGATGCACCCGAAAAAGGGCCCAAAAAAGGGAGGGGCCCAGGTGGGCCCCAGGGCCAGGGGTCGATTGGGTAGAAGGGGGGTGGGCCCTTCCCAGGGACCAAGTGCACTAGTTGTCGGGTGGGCCCCCCGTGGATGCCATCGTTGGGCCCCCCAAGGGATGAAGAGGGGGCCCAGGGACAGAGGCCAAAAGGGCCCGAATTCCCCTCCCTGTAGGGGCCCGCCAGTTGGGCTCCAACAGCAAAAGAGTCTGGAATCCCCCCTCCACGCACTGCTCTCGCCGCGTGTGAAATCAATGCCCTCGGGGGCCCACACTGGGGCCCTCCCGTGGGCCCCCTAGCCTCAAAAAGAGGCTTCTCCTCCCGAAAACAGCCCTCCTACTCCCCCGCTCCATCCATTCAATGCGCGAGGAAGAAACTTTTGCTGAAAGAGAGAGAGAGCGAGAGAGAGAGAGAGAAACTTTTGGCGATGTATCGTTGATTGGGAATCCGAGGATTGGGGTGGAATTGGGGCAATCTTTAGCCGAAGATACTGTATAAGACAAGACAAAGGTACCAAGAAGCGTTATTTTAGTAGCGTAACTTAATGGCGATTTTCCAAATCTAAAAATAAAAAAGATTGGCTAGGGAAACAGGCAAAAATCGCGATCCCCGAAAAAATAGATATCTTAAAGACATTCTTTTACGGCCTTTTAAAGGCGCTGTAAAGCCCGATTTTAGTAGCGTAATATAATGGAGATTAAGATTTTAAAAATCAATTAAATATGGGTGCACTTGCTTCATTCGGTTTTCGAAAATTCCAAATAAAAGAAGTAGGAAACGCCTTTCAGGCCCCTTTAAGGCCATCCATACCTAAGTAGCACCTTGAATTCCGACTAGCTACTATTTACTCGAGAAGGACGACCACGAAGAAAGATCATCTAAAGGCGTCGGTCCTAAAGGCGTCTGTCTCTCTCTCCCTCTCTACTAAACATCAGCTCCCGCATCCATTTGCATTTGATGTATCCGAGAGGGTGGTGCCTGGAAACGCGAGTCGCCGGAAGTGCCAAATGCCCTCGGGGGGCATCTGTGTTTGTTCAGGAGGAGAAAAAAGTGTCGAGCTCTGTTAGGGTCTGATGTTCATAGAATTATTCCGTACGCCGTGGCGAGCCTTTGGAGGTGCCGAAAAGGTATTATAGACTTGACGAATGGACGCGAATTCCTCAAAAACCTCTGCTAGCCTACCGAGCGGATCCTTAAAAAATCACGGCTAGATTGCCCGACATGCCTGGGCACGCGGGATCTCTAAAAATCGCTGCTAACTTGCCCGAAGCGAGTCTTATAGATTTCTAGCCCCCTAAAAGTACACTATCCCCTTAACGCGTCCCCCAATCACCATTGTGTTGCCTGTTTGTCTGTCTGTCTGTTTGTCTATTTGTCTGTCTATCTGCTCGGGATCTGGTCTCGTAATGCCCCGAGGGCTTTTCCTCAGCAAACACTGCGCGCTTGCCCCCCATTGTTTTTCAAGGTGCTGATGAATCAGCGTGATTTGGTGGTGGTTTGGGATCAGGGGTACGCTAGCAGCGATTCCTTAGGAAGCTGGCAATTTTGCTTGACGAGTCAGATCGAGCAAGCTAGCAGTGTATATTGAGGAATTCTCTCTAGGAAAAACGCTACAGCAGCGCGCTGTTATCATGGCATGCCAGCAGAGGCAGTTGAGGAAACTATCAAATTTAAGTAAGGGAGAACGAGCAGGGATCTTTTAGGATTTATTAGTCCATGGACTGTGTATTACAAGCTGGCAGCGCGGAAATGTCGCAATTTTACCATGGAATGCATCCAACATTTGAAGTCCTCTGCACTACTCGGTACACCCTGCTACATTTCCCTCCATCTCGTAATCCGCCGGTCGACTGAATTCCAACACTCGAACGAAAAGCGACCGACTCGGCTAAGGGAACCAGCTCGCGTGTGCTCATCCGGACGTTCCTCCATTCCCTAGCCTCACTCACCGAAAATGGGGTCCCGAACGGAAAAGAATGACTGTCAGGGGAGGGGGAGTCTCCAGGTAAATGGCTTCGATTATGGCTGACCGGAGGGGGAAGAAAAGGAGGAGGAGGAGACGAGCTTATTTGGACAAGTTTTAGCTTTTCGAGGTGTTCTCAGCTTCCGCAACTATCTAGAAAAGAAAATACGTGTTTTCTGTAAAAGTGATTAATTGAAAGTCGGGATGATGCTCTCTCTCTTTCTCTCTCTCTCTCTCTCTCTCTCTCTCTCTCGCTCGCTTTCTCTCTCTCACTCTCTCGGTCTCCCTCAACTGGAATACTTTCTTTAAAATCGCGGCTGAACGTCTCGAACATCACCAGCTGGGCGGGCGACTTGAAAAAGCCCGAGAGCCGAAATACAGTCAGAAGACACTGTCCATAACCTTCACTATCTCTCGCTCTCACTCGCTCTCTCTCTATCTCATTCTCTCTCTCTCTCTCTCTCTCTCTCTCTCTCTCTCCCTTCGAATAGTCCTCCGTGTGTATGTCCGATGTGCGCGCGGCGCGGGTGTTTATCTGTGCGCCAGAGGCGGGGGGGGGGGGACGAGGGTCTGGATGGAGTCCTCCTTCCTGTCCTTCCCTTCTTCTTCTTCAACCCTTCAGGCCCTCCAGTCACGGACCGTTTTCCGTTTTCCACCCCTGGCTCGCCATATTTTACGTTACAAGTCGGCTACGGTGGTGGTTACGGTATTTTGCTATTTTCAAAGCGTTTCTGCTAACTTGCCCTAAAAAGATTTTGTTAATTTTGGGTTTCATAGATTTTCGAGATTCGTGGATGAGCTTTCTTCACTTTTATAACGCTTATTTGGCTGTTTCTGCCTGAATCTACGTCCCTCAATCGAGCCACAGGCCCGGAAATCAAAATCCAGACATTTAAAATACCGACAGCCAGAAATCCCGACGCACAAAATTCCCGAAAGTCAAAATAGTTGCATCAAGGGGGTGACGTCCAAGCAGCGTCAAGAATATGTCGGGATTTAGTCGAAATTTGGATTCTCGCCTGGCAAATTTAGGCTGTCGGCATTTTCGGGGTCGTGGATTGTGGACCGTTTCGCTGTCGGCATTTTGTTCTCTCGGCATCATAGTTGTCGGCATTTCGGCTGGGCAGCAGTTTATAAGCGCTTAAGGGAGCAAACTAGTAGAGGTCATTTAGCTAAAGTTACTGCTTTTTTTGATTTTCGACAACAAGTTAGTACAAGTTTAAATAAAAGCAAAAGATCTCAAATTACGTTTTTAAGATTTTAGATCAAGCAGACCAGCAAAGACCGTTTGCGAATTGCCCAGATTACTGTAGACCGTCTCGCGAGGGCGAAAATCCACTCGGGACCCGGCCCGCCCCGCCGAGGACATTCTTTGTCCCAAATTTGGCGTTTTTTTGTGTGTGTTGACTTGCTCGCGCCGGTTCCACCCCACAACCACTATCCCTCCTCTTCTACCCCCCGGGATTATTCGATGATCCGGAGGGGGGTGGCCTGCAGGGGTTGAAGGTGTACCAGTTCTACCTCTCTCTCACTCTCTCTCTCTCTCTCTCTCTCTCTCCCACCCTATTCAAAAGCCCGACCCGTCCACCGTCCACGGCCGATTTGCGCCCTCGGCCCGCCGCGTTCCATTCAGCTTCTAACCCCAAATTTTTAGTTTACGGTTGGGCGGGCTAGCAGAGATTCTTTAGGAAGGGCTACGAGGCGGTGGAACTCAGCTAGAATTTTTAAGCATAACCCGGATTTTTGAGGAAATTGAAGGAAGGCTAGCAGCGAACGTTGAGGAAATTGGTGCCAATCTAGCGGAGATTATGTTGGAAATTCAGTAAAAACATGCAGAAACTCTTTAGAAACTAGAGGCAGACCAGCAGCGATCCTTGAGAAAATCGAGGCTAGGATAGCAGAGCTTCTTTAAAGGACGGTCGCAGTCTAGCACAAACTCTAATAAAATGAGCACCAGCTAATGAAATTGGACTTTAGAGTCTGGGGAAATTTTTTAGGAAATTCGTGGCACGTGATGTCGCAGCTTTCTCAGGGCAAGCTAGCAGAGATCCCGAGGAATCTTGTAATTTTGAGATTTTGAAAATTAAGAAGAGCTTTGAAAAAATAGGTTTTTGCTATTTTTAGAAATTAGAAAATTATAAACCAATTTTAATTGATCGTTTTTATGTTTTTATTTCGTGTTTTTTGCGACTGTTTTTTCGAAAAAACAATGAACTTTTTGCAGGGTATGCGAACGGTGTTGGTACTTGGATGGGTGCTGGTTGGAGTGACAGCCGGCCAGTATGACC